GCAATGCTTCTGCTGCTAGATATCAGCACGGTGAGGGAAGTCATGCAACAATTTAAGAGTATGTGGTCATGCAAAATGAGGGACAGTGACCCACTTTATGTCTTTCAGGTGGGAGAGTGCTGCAGAGGATACCTCCCTACTTCCTGAAGGCTGCAATGCCTTTAGGGAGGATCCACTCCTATGAGCAAGGTTATGTCCTGTTTCCACTACTGCCTCCCTGCAGGTGGGTAAGGGCTGTGAGTGGCAAAATATTTGGTTGCTGGTAAACAGTTATGCCAGGCATGTTGAACTGAGTGTCGAGGAGACCAGCAGTCATGCTGGGCTTGCAAGCATTCAAGTAAAAAAGAACAAAAAAACCCTTTTTTTACAGATATATTAATAATAAGAGGAGGTCTAAGGAGAATCTCTTTCCTTTACTGGAGGCAGCAGGGAATGTGGCCACTGAGGGTAAGGAAAAGTCTGATGCTCTCAATGCCTTCTTTACATCTGTCTTTAAAAGTCAGACCAATTATCCTCGGGTTACTCAGTCTCCTGACCTGGAATTTTGGAATGGGGAGCAGGATAAACCACCCACAATATAGGTGGAAACAAACAGCTGGAGAAGTACTACTCCACATGGACTGTCACAAGTCCATGGGGCTGGATGGGATCCACCCAAGGATGCTCAGGTGACTGTCAAGCCATTTCCACCATCTGCCAGAGTTTCTGTCAACCAGCATGGTCCCAGAGAATCCTGGAGAGAAGCCTGGGAGGCTTTCCAGTGTGACTCCCATCTACAAAAAGGGTCACGAGGAGGATCTGGGGAACTAAAGGTCTGTCAGCCACACCTCGGTGCCAGGGAAGGTTATGGAACAGATCATCCTGAGGGAGATCATATGGCAGATGCAGGACAGCCAGGGGATCAGGCTCAGCAAGCATGGGTTCATGAAAGGCAGGCCCTGCTTGACCAACCTCATCTCCTTCAAGTGGAGATGGTGGAGTCACCATCCCTAGAGGTGTTCATGAAACATTTAGTTGTGGTACCAAGGGACATGGTTTTGTGGGGAAATATTGGTGGGAGGTGGCCAATTGGACAAGATGATCTTGGAGGTCTATTCCAACATTTGTGATTCTATGATCCTAAGATTCTAAGCGTGTACTGATGCTTTTAAGCAATTTCTTGGTTTATGCTGTGTGAGATTTTTGGTTGTGAAGGTGTTGTGGTGAGTTTGTGAGCAGGAAGCTCTGTACATCTGTAGCGAACACCTTGCAGGCAGTGGCTCACAGGGCCTGTTTGGTGGAGTTATATATAGATTTTCCTCTCTGTGGGTCCTGTTAGTGAAACAGTAGGTTGCACAATGGGCTCTTAAGAGAGCTGTTTGTCTAGAGATTTATTGCCTCTCTGAGATCAGAGTATCAGGGCATTATAAACTTTCCGAAGGAGTGCTGAATAATCCCTATTCTCTGTGCACAAGGGCAGATATCCAGTGAACAACCTCCATCTGCCCCCTCCCAGTAAGGAGAGGAACAAAAGTCTCTGATCCTGCGAGCAGAATGAGAACACTCGCAAATAATAACATTCCCTTTAACGCTCCAGCATACATAACAGGGCCCAGAAGTTGCCTAATCATTCACAAGGCTGTTTTTCACTGAGCAGGGAGGATGCTCGAGTGCCCTTTTCTCCATTTGGAGAGATTTTTGACCCTCTGTCTGCCTTGCTCTGGTGCTGCTTCTTTTGTTGACTGCGGTAGGCTGGAGCTCTTGTAGCTCGTTGAATAGCTTGAGAGGCTCTTTAATCAAAATTAACTGAGTGCTGCTAATTCACGTGTCTCTTGAGAGAATCACCTAGATTTTTCCTTTTATTTTTCCTTAATTTCTGTATCATCTATTATCTTCTCAAAAAGAACATGCAACTTAAATCTGGAGGCAACAGCTATGCAGTTTTTTTGTTATTAGATGTTGAAAGAATTTCCTACCCCTTTCTGCACGTACTTGGGGAAAAAGAGGAGGAAAAAATCTTCATCTTAATGCAAAATATTTCTAACTTGCTCAGATTCTCGGGAAGGTCATGCATAGTCAGTTTAATTCCTAGAAAGGAGGTATCTTTGATGAAATGTGAAATGAGGAGTGATGCAACAAACAGATAACATTGACTTGTTCACTGTCTCACTGATTGATATCTGAGGAAGACATGGAGGTGTTACACTGCACTTCATGCTACTTTTTCCTGTTACGTAGCGGCACAACTTTTTCTGTCTTTTCCCATTTACCTTTCTTCTGTTAATTTTTAACAGGAAAGAACTTCTTTTTTCTTCAAAAAATGTCCTCACTAAAACTAGTCCTGCTGGACTGACCAGAACATCATGAAGTTCAGGGAGAGCCACAGCTGCAGAGAAACAACCCCAGGCACCAGGACATGCTGGTGGCAACCCAGCAGGGAAGCAGTTTTGTAGAAAAGGCCCTGGAGGTCACCAAGCTGAACGTGAGCCTACAGTGTCCTTGCCACAAAGAAGGCTAATGGTACCCTGTGCTGCCCCAGACAAAGCAGGCTGAAGGAACTGGTCCTCCCCCTCTGCTCAGCGCCGGTGAGGCTGCACCTGGAATGCTGGCTCCAGTTGCCCTGTGAGGAGGGGTGCCTTTAATTTCACAGAGCCCTTCTTACAGTTTCTTTTTCTTCCTGTTGTCTGCCAGACAGTTTTAAATGGTTTTTATGACTGAAGATACACAAAGGAAAGGTGACGTGGTAGGGGTGTAAAGACATGTATTTAAAATTAATCGCACATGAGGGCAATACTGTGTATTTTTATCCAACAAAGCAAACAGAAAATCCCCTAAAAATAAACCTTTACAGGAAATTAAGATGTGTAATTAGCTCATCGGAGATAATTACACATGCTGCTGTGTTCCTGTAGAGCAGAGCCACAAATACAATGACAGCTGTGGTTAATTTGGAATCACTCGTGCTTTCCCCAAGATTTCACATTTTGCCTGCCAGCTCAACATAGATTTGACCACTTCTGAAGCTCTCGTGTTGACAAATTTATTCAAATCCACACATAAAGAAGAGATGAGATGCCCACTCTGGTACTCTGATTCGGAAATGGCAACAAGTCACTTCTGAGCACCAGCTAAACAGACCAAGGAGCTTTAGTCAAGCTTGGCTGCCACTGTGCTTGAGGGAGAGCTTAGCAACACCCATTTGCTGTGCACTCCCAGGCTTTGTCATCTAGCATGTCCTTCTGCAGATGTCCTCAACAGGACAAGGCATAGCCTGTGTTCTGGTTGGGCAATGGTCGTGGGAGGGTTCCTTCAACCCTGCCCTTGTACCAGGCCATAATTTTCCCATGGATAATGTGTTTGTGCTTGGTTGTCTGCTCTTCCAGCCGTGCCGTATTGTTTTTATGGCAGGAACTTAATCTGCAGCTGGACAACCAGGGAGAAGGAAAAAAAAAAAAGCAATCTGAGGAAAGGCATGAAATGAGAGAGGCTAAAATATCACCTTGGTATTATTAAGTCAAATTAATCTCACATGTAATGCGATGAGTTTAATTGGAATTACACCACGGATTAGTGCAGCTATCACACTGTAATAGCTGTGTGGCTTCAGGACTTGGTTGTTCCTTGCCTCCTTACATCTTTCCAGCTTCATTCCTTCACCTCCAAGTCATCCCTGCTCCTCCGTCCCCACAGTTGACCCCACTCCTTCTCCATCTGAGGAACTACATTTACACCACTATCTTTCATCCCTCTTCTGGGGTTTCCTGTTTTCTTGATCTTTCTCCCACACATCTCAGAAGCTTGGCAAATGCTCACCATCTTTTTCCTTTAGGGGCATCTTTCACGGCACCAGCATCTTTAAGGCCCTTTCCAACTCAAGCCATCCTAAGACTCTGCCATCTTAAGCTCTTCTGGGAAGAAGGGCAGAGATGAAACAGGAGTATTTTTACGGTGATGGACACACTGGCAGTAGCGTGAGGAACAGGTACCAGCAGATGCCCATGGTTCCCATGCTCATCCACATATTGGAACTAGGGAGAGCGCTTGTTCTTTTGGAGATATTAGAAGTCACTTATCTCCTGCTTAGTGGGGAAACAGCCCTGTTTGCATAGTTGTCCTCACAGCTGTGGGCTGGGTTCATGGGTAGGGACTGGGGAACGGAGGAAGTGGTCAGAGAACAAGAGCAATGCTGGATGGGGCTGTGCATCCCCAGGAAGAATCCAAGCCATCACGTGTGGAATTACACACCCACTGTGAGTGTTTCTTCCTTTACCACTGGCTTGCAGGTCATCCCAAGGAGGGTACTGTGTGGTTTCTTTCCACAGGGACCGTGCCTGTCCTCTGGTCTGGCAAAGTCCTGGGCTCTGGGCTTTTTTCAGCAGTGGAAAGTTCCACAGGTTAGTTGTGGATTTTCTGAAAAGCCCTCAGGCGTGGTATTCACCCGATGGGTTTTACACAGCAGAGGACTCCTGCGTGTTTCTTCCCAATCTTCCTAGTGTTTGCAGAGTGAACTGCCCAGCACTGAGGGCCCGAATGGCAGATTGGCTTTCGGCAGTACCGTTATCCCTCAGGGGTGATCCTGAGGCTGCTGACTCGAACTTCATGAGTCGTGAAGCAAAACAGCAACCATTACTACTTTTTGTTTGCAGTCCCAATCCTTCCCTCGGGCCCAATCCTCCCCGAACGCACCCACGGTTACTGTGCTGAGCAGGAGACCTTCCCACCATGGCGGTAGGAGGACAAGTCCCACCTTTTGGGCAGAGGCAAGCTTTCAGAGGCCGTTTTCACCCGCACCTCCGCACCAAGCCGAGCCAAAACCAAAAGGGCGCATCCCAAATAGTCACCCCGCGTTTATAAACAACCAGGCTTCAGGGAATGACACATTTCCATCCCGGCTTGGCGCGAAGGGCCGCTCCGTGCCGCGGTTCCGTGCCGCGGTTCCGTGCCGCGGTTCCGTGCCGCGGTTCCGTGCCGCGGTTCCGTGGGTTCCGTGCCGCGGTTCCGTGCCGCGGTTCCGTGCCGCGGTTCCGTGCCGCGGTTCCGTGCCGCGCTCGCCGGGACGGCCGACCCGCAGCACGCACAGCAGCGGTGCCGAGCGAAGCGCACGCTGCCGGCCGCTCCGCATCCCCGCAGGCGGCCGCGAGGGAACGCCTCAGCGCCGGGCCACGGAGCCGCTCCTCCTCCGTCCCTCGCCACGTCGGTGGCTGCGGCGGGAGGAGGAGACGGAGGAGGGCTGAGGTCGAGAGGGGCCGGCCCGGGGCAGAGCGACGTGTCGCGGGAGCCCTTATAGCCCGCTGCCGCCCGCCGGGCCCTGCCTGCCGTGCCGTGCCGTGCCGTGCCGTGCCGTGCCGTGCCGTGCCGTGCCGTGCCGTGCCGTGCCCCGGCACCATGTTGAGCAGCCAGCAGACGGTAGGGCCGCGCTCCGCCGCGGGGCCGCTCCCTCGGGGCTCCCGGAGCCGCTGAGGCGACGGCTTTCGGCGTCCCGGGGTGCGGGGAGCGGGAGAGGGCTTCGTTTCGGGGGCGGCAGCCCAGGGTGCGGGGCGCGGCGTTCTCGTGGCTGGAGACGGGCTCCGAGCGGCCCCTCCGTTCGCCCCCGCCCCGGGCGGCGGGACGACCTTTATCAGCCGGGCTGGCTGCGGCCGATCTTTGCACCCTGCCGTCACAGGGATGCTGAGCGCCTGACAGCTGCGCGCGGGCTGCCCGAGGAGCGCAGAAAGGGGCTCGCCGACAGCAGGGCTTTGCGACGGGTCCCGTCAGCGATGCGGTGCCCGGCCGGGGGCGGTGTCGGTCACGCCGTGCAACGCGGAGCGCTGCGCTGCACCCCAGCTTTTGCTGAGAAAAGGAGCGCAGTGCGCGCCTGCGGCCGAGCGCCCGGCTGTCGCAGCTCGGAGCGCGGTGCTGAATCCGAGAGTGGCAAAGGGAGCGTCACCCACCTGGCCGAGACCCTGCCGGCATAGTCCTTCTTTTTCCTCTTCCTTAGCCTGCTTCTTTCCGTCCTCCTCCCCTCTTAAAATTCCACCAATTCTTCGTGGTGTGGGTGATGCATTCTTCTTCCTCCTGCGGGAGGTGCGGCTTTTCAGGTACGCTCCTGGGTGAGAGTGGGTTCTTCCAGCTTGGTTCGCTGCCCGCTGATGTGTCAGAAATGGGTTTGGTGGGCGGCACTGCTTGGCTGCCCGCTGTGGAAAGGTGCAGCGGTGCAGCTCTGAGGTGAGCTGAGGTGACACGACTGCTCCCCATTCTGCACACTGAGCGCCCGAAAGCCCTCCACTTAAAACACTTTCACCCTGCGTGCTGCGTGGAGTCTGAGGTTATTTTCACCCAGCAGCCATTTATTAATGTGAGCTTATGGTAAGATGCAAAGAAGAAAGCTTAGGATTTTTGATCTCTGATGTGTTACCTTTAAAAATCACTAAGGCCCCTTGGCTCTGGATATGACCCAGCACTCGATATGGGGATTCTTTCTTTTGCTGCTAACATGGTGGCAGCTCCCTTTGCTTCTGCCTGTGACACTGTGAGAGGCATGAAGTTCTCCCCGTGCCTGAGTTTCCTTCAGTTCAAAGACCTCATTGACAGCGGGCAGTGCTTATTCCTGACCCCTCTCGGAGGTGACTTTTGGAGAGAAAGAACAATCTTTAATGGCGACCTTAACACGCCTTATATAAGCCTCCCGTGTGCCCGTATGGTGAAATCTTACTCTCGGGAGTAAGCGTACCTTAAAGTAATTGCAGTGAGTAACGTGGAGTGGTGGAGCAGCCCTTGTTTATTGCACAGTGCAGCATTCATGGCTCAGTAGTTCTTTCAGTTCCGACGAAAGAGCAGCTTGTTCTCCCTACACCTGTGGCACCGCTGGCATTTCCTCTGCTTGGTTCCTCTCTGCATGAGCAGTGTTCTTACGGCAAGCAGAAGGACACAGGCGGTGCAGTGTGCCCCGAGAGGCAGCCCCAGCCCACAGGCACGGCTGTGTCCTTAGGGACCGTCCCTTTGCCAGGGCAACCGGCTGCACAGCTCGCTCCTTCCACAAAAAACCAGTGTGTGGGAGGTGCAGCTCAGAATTCCGCGTGGAATCGAGGTGTTTGGTAAGCATGAGGGAGATCTGTCTGAGCCCAGCTGGGAGCGACACACATGGGACGAGGCAGCGCTGGGCAGCGGGCAGGCGTCCAGCTTTCTCCTTGGATATCTTTAAAGATGCTGTGGGCGGAATGAAAGCCCCTCGTGAAACCGCCTGCTTTGGGGTAAATGCTGCAGCCTTGTCATCTGCAGGCTCTGTGAGGGAGCCTGAGCGGTGTGGCACACAGCATCCTCTTTAGGCTTCATGGAGGAGCTCTTCCAGTAGCCCAGCAGATCCCGAAGCTGTAACTTCTGAAGGTTCAGTTTTGCTTACGTGTACAAGTTACGGACCCTTGTTTAAAGGTAAATTAACACGTAAAAAAGATTGTGATCTTTTCTTCAGTTTACTTAAAAAAAAAAAAAAAAAAAAAAAAAAGGAAAAACCTGCAAGATCAGATGAACAGCACTGAGGAAATATGAAAAAAGGTTCATTTCTTTGCCTAAAAACTGTTGAAAAAAGTGCATCCACGGGGCAGAGTTCAGATGGACTGTGGTATCACAAGCTGTTCAGTAATGTTTGTACAGCTTTATCGTTCTGATTGTGAACCAATGTGAAATAAGCAAAAAGAGGTCATAAAAGTTTGTTTGTCTCCTTATTTTTTACTCCTGTTTTAAATATAAAGAAATCGACTGGGAGATCTTCAGACATCTCTAAGGGTGTTTATATTCAGAGCAGCTCTGCAGAGCTCGTTGAGCAGATGCTGAGGCTGGTGAAGTGGCACAGCGTGGCCTTGGTGATGGTGCACCCATCAGGACTGGGCTTACAGCTGCAGTGTGCTTTCTGAAACACACTGAAACACACTCGTTGCACCGTGGTGGTAAACGGTGACCATTTCCTAATTGCTTGTCACCTGCTTAGGTTGTCTGATATCCCTTGTATTATTTTATGTTTTTACTTTTTTGATTTCCTTTGTCTTTGAAGATCAAGGGGATGTCATGAGACTATCACAATACACTCTTGTTTCAACTGTTATTGTTTCTTCTAGCTCTCTCTCTGTTTCTTTTCTAAGTCCTTTGCTGTTGAATGCTCCCTCCTTGGTCTGTTTCTCTCTGCCGTTTCACTAACTTGTGTGTTTTGCAGGGCTGCCAGCATACCAGCAGCCACTGGCTGTGAACCACTCTCTGTCCTGTGAAAGCAGCACTGTTCATTTGGGGGAATTTCATTCAAGAAAGGACAGAAAAAGTTGCAGGCTCCCAAATATGAATGGCTCTTTCTTTCCATGGGAGGTTGAGTCACCCAGGGGATGGGGAACAAAGTGATCAGTGTGGTCCGGCCCCAGGAGCTGTGTGCTGGAAAGGGCGGCTGTGCTTTTCTGCAGGGCAAGTGGTCCCTGCCTGGACGGCCCTACGAGCTTCGTCGTTTTCCTTCTCGTAGGACAAGTGGCTCATTTGTTCTCCTGCTGCCTGACCCCTGGATCAATAGCATCCGGCCTCATCTGTTCTTTGGGCAACACCAGTGAAGTCATAGAGAAGCTGCCAGCCAGTTACAGCCTGTGCCAAAATCCATCACTCAGGCACAGGTTTTCAGCTGTATGCATCTTGGGCAGCTCCTGCAAGAGATTTCAGGCCATACAGGGAACAATTTTGGAGACCCCAAGCTATCCAGACATGTGCATTGCAGCTGCGAGTTAGATTTAGGTCACAAGGATTTTGTTTTTCCTCAGGATTTTCAGGAGAATATTGGCATACTTGCATTTTTTACTGGGCTGATGTTGATCCTGGAGGGTGTTTTTAAGTAGTCTTTAAAAATGAAAAGACCTTTTCTATCTGAAATCAGGTATTTTAGATAAACTTGCAGCTGTACATGCCCACGAAAGATAAGGGGTTTAGGGCCTGTGTTAATACTTCTCTAGAGATATCCTCTGCCTTGAACTTGTACTTTGATTGCAGTGCTTGTAGGCTTTGGTACTTTAAAAGGCCTTTCAGAGCAATGTCATGTGATTTGGGTTATTAGTTATTACTTGACTGTTAGCGTGAGTGTGGTGACTAACAGTTAATCTCAGATTTAGCTCTGAATCACAGCTGTGGGAAGTGAGAAATAGCTCCTTAATGGCCTCGCAGCTTAGTCATTTTTAAGTGAAAATTTACTCGGAGTGTATCATTAGCAAAAGGAGGGAGGCAAAAAGGAGGGCCAAAGAAACTCTGTTTGGATGTGTGTCATGAAACAGGATGCTAGAAAATTAGGGTTTGCCCATCAGGCTAGTCTCGCTGCCAGTTGTGCAGCCTCCCATCCTCGTGGCACGGCCCGGTTTTGTTTGCTTACACCTTGGCAGGGCTACAGCTGTTGGTGTCAAGAGTTTTATCTGCTGAGCGAGTGCCAAAGCGTACTGGCCTGTTTGGAGAGCAGAGCTTGGGAGGGAAGGCAGCACAAGCACTCTCTTTTTCTTAGTGTGGCTTTTCTTTAGACACAGTGCTTTGGAGTTTGTTGAGGTTATTTTGCCACCCGCTTGCTAGATTGCTCACCTATGGAAAATGACCTTTTGAACTTCGAGGTCTTCACAGAATCTCTGGCAAAACAGTGTTTCCATTTTTCAACTTTCCAACGTAGCGCAAAAACGTGTTGTGGGTGGGAGGTCATTTTTCAGTCCTATCCAGCCCTACTGATGGGCAGATCATCCCAGGGGGTGGAAAGAGACACAAACTTGATTTTAAAGGAGGTGAATGTGGCTTGGGGGGTCAGTATTGCACCCGAGGGAACAGCATGGAGCTGTGTCAGGGGAGGGCAGCTGGGGGTGAGGGAAAGGCTCTGCCCCAGAGGGCGGTGGGCATGGAATGGGCTGTGCAGGGCCGTGGGCACAGCCTGAGTGCTGGAGCTCAGAGTGCACTGGGACACTGCTCTCAGACACACAGGGTTTGGATTTGGAGTGGTAGAGCCAGGGGTGCGACTCGGTGATCCTTGCGGATCCCTCCCAGCTCGGGGTGTTCTGTGATCCCATGCTTTCTGTAGCAGCTGTATGGACTGGGTATGCAGGCAGGGCAGGAAGCCTCGATCCCAGAATCTCCAAACTGGAGAATACAGTTTTTGAGCCTGGTTCATGCAGCTGGTGGTGTAGGTGGCGTGGTAAACGGTGTCCCAGTGAACACAAGCTGTCACCTGGCTGGCAGCAGTGCGGCGGGGATTTAGAGATGCTGAGCAAGGGAAAGACTGGTTTGGACACACCTCCAACAGCAGCCAGGTGTGGGGCCCATGGGAGAGTTTACAGCTCAGATCCATGTACTGGTGTGTCATCACAGCTCCCACCTGTGACCTGAGGTACCAGTTGGTAACTTGCAGCCTAACAGTGCTTTGTAGACCTAATAATCCTCGATTCTTTCCTTGAGTTTATCTAATGATTTTATTTTTCGAGCCAAGTGAACTCTTGGCCTGTCTGGCATTAAGTTCCATTGAACCGTGTCCTGTGTTGCAGTTCTGTCTGAGCGTCTCTAACTGTTTGCACTTTGCAAATGTTCAGTTTTGAAATAGAAAATGCCACTCTGAAGTCAAGGACGTGCAGACTGTGCGACAGCAGGTTGGGGACCGGGCCCCAAATGAGGTGGGGAGAGGTAGCGTTCGAGGTGACACCGAGTCCCAGTGCCCCCAACTCGTGTCTGGGAACGGAGCCTTTGTGGAGAAAATCATAAGCCTGATGTGTTTTATGTCATTTTGCACATCCGGGACTGGTGGCAGGTGCTGCTAAAATGGTGGGAATGCTCAGGCCTCTTTCAGATGCAGCCCAGTGCCACTGCTCTGGGGACAAGTGGCCTTGGGTCCCCAGGTTTTATATTTTCAGCCCACTGCCTCAGGATCCTGTAGAGAAATGGTGCAAGAGGTTTGGTTCCTTTATGACAGTAAGTATTTTAAAGCCTGGTGAAGCTTGACATGCCTGCAGATGTTCTGCAGCTCCCAGTGCTTACGAAATAACTAAAGCTTCTCAAAAGTCACAGGGCTCCTTTCCTGCAGGAATACAGCTGCTGTCTGTGGCAGTGTGGCTGAACTCTGATGGCTCAGTTCAGGCTGTGCTGGTTGGGGCTGGAGGAGATCCTGCTTTCCTCAAGGAGGATGGTGTTGGTGTCTTACCTGTGTGCTCTTGGCCTCTGGAGTAAAACCCCATTGCAAACTGAGTGAGCAGGGGCACAGAGCTGCAGTTTTGTTTCAGAGCAGTGCCACAAGTTGAGCTTCTAAACAGTGATGTGTCAGAGTTATTTCTTGAGCTCTCGAACAGAAATGAGCTTGATGAAGAGGCACATTGCTCTGCCCAGTGCAAGCTGGTCACAAGCCTCAGCTCTGAGCAGCAGAGCCGTATTTTTGATCTTGCAGCTTGTAGCCCAATAGAGCTCAAGGGATGATTGCCTGATGCTGTACTGTGGGTTCTTTGCTTGTAGGAATTATCATTATTCGATGTGGGAATCCTGACTGTCACCTGCCCTGTGACTGCACAATTCCTTTCTTTTCAGTTTTCTCTACAACTGAATGGACATGCTCACTCAATATCTGCGGGTGTCCAGCCCCAAAACAACAGCATGAACATGACTTATGTTCCCTTGTTTTGCAAGAGGACTGTGTTTTGTATTGGCTGTGATCCCACGGGTCTGTCAGATACCTCAGCATCATCCAGAGCAGCCTCGTAGCACACTTAGGTGTAAAAAGAAAGCAGGTCTCCTTTTGCTTTGTAAAACGTAGTATTTGCAACATGCATATGAGCCAAACTGCTGAAATGGGTTTGTTTATGGAGGTAATTTAGCAGAACACATATGTATAAAAAATAGGGAATTCGTGGAAGGGTTTCCTGTTCAACATGTTATTTTTGCCAGCAGATGTCAGGCTGCTCTGGCTGTGAAATACTTGCTCGCCATGCAGATGTCCCTTGTAATTTTTGGAAAGAAGTTGGGAATCATTTTTATTTTATAACGTCGGTCCTGGCCTTCCAAATTAATCATGGAAATGTGTGAGCACAGAGTGACTCACTGGTTTTAGTGGGTCGAGGAAATTAGATTAGTGACATCACCTGTCCAGAGATATTAAAAACCAAAGATCTGATCTGGGTGGCTTCAGAGAGATAGCTGTAATGCCCAACCCATTGCTTTGAAGTCGTATTGTCATGAAATCAGAGCATGATTGCGAGGTGACGGGCATGTGAGCTTGTGTATCGAGCCTGATTTTTTGGAAGATGGTACAAAACCTGACTGTGTCCACCTCAAATGCACAGACATACTAGAAGAAGAGTGTTATAGCAGCATTCAAAATTAGAGTCTTGCTAAGAGCTCAGGAATTCCTATGTGTTAAGAAAAGAGTACTTTGGCTAGCCTCACCTTGAAAACTATGTTTGTTAGCAAAGTTTGGCATTGCAAAGCGTCTGTCTGCAAGCTGAAAGCCTGCTTGTTTCAGGTAGCTGGGAGCTCTCAGCTGGGCCCCTGACGTTCCTGGCAGGGACAAAGTGCTGTCTCAGCAGTGCCAGGACAAGCAAGCAGCAGCAGGAGAGCTTGCCAAGGACCACGCCTGGACTGCTTGGGTCTGTGAGAGCGCTGAAGATCCTGGTCTGGTGGTTGGCGACCCTGCTATCTTGGCAGGGGGTTGAAACAAGGTGATCTTTGAGGTCCTTTTCAACCCAGGCCATTCTGTGATCCTGTGAAGGAGGAGGGAAACCCAGTTCAGCAGCCTGCCTAGTGTGAGCAAACGCTGGCACCCCCAGCAGGACATTTAGTGACCCAGTGCTGTGTTCCTCAACTAAATCTTATTATTTTGTAATATCTTTATCACTGCCTGAAGCTAATGCTCCATCCTCCAAGTCCAGCCGTGGCAGTGGGATCCTGGGACCTGTAGCAGGCAGAAATTTCCAAGGTAATGCTGGCTCTTGGGGGGCTTTTCCTGGGGAAGGATAGAGCTAATTTTGAAACACTTACCATCATAACCCTTTTCAGCAAGTTACACTGATATTTGGGAAAAGTCAGTAGGTTTTGGGTTGTGGGAATTAAATCAGGACTTTGGAAACTCTGAGGTTTCTCCATCTTCCTTGATTCTGATTGTAAAGGTGAGCCATTGACAAGCAAAACCCCCCTCTGCATGTTCTTCCTCCTTTTGCATATGATAGGTTTTCTCTTCTGCAGCAAATGACTCTCATACAGAAAGATTTCCCCCTGTGATGGTGATGGACTCTTGATGTCAATGCACCCATTCTCAAGGGCAGCCATGGGAATTGCCCTGGGAGAAGAATTTTTCTACTTAAGTAAGAGACTCAGAAACACAATTTTTATGCATCAAGTTCAGCTAACACAAAATCATTTTTTTATTAAGATGGCAAGATGTAGGAGGGGGTTTTAAAACTAAGGTCTGTCTCTGTAGGCTTAAAAGTGTTTGATTTCAGATGGTGTCCCGTGCAGCTGATGGATGGCAAGGACTGGGGTTGGTGTGAGTCCCACTGTTTCAGGCGTGTGGTGCTGGGGATGTCTCACCTCTTTGGCAGCAAAACTGCCCATAACATAGGAGCAAAATAGGAGGGATCTGGTACCAGCAGGTAGGAGGGGTCTGGAGTTAGAGTCACAGATTGGCTCGGGATGGAAGGGACCTTGAAGCCCACTCAGTTCCAACCCCTGCCGTGAGCAGGAATGCCACCCACATCTGGAATTGCTGCTGGGTTGCTTTCCCAAGCTCCAGAAGATGCTAGTGTGAACAAAAAAACCTGCTCCAAGATGTGCATGGTGTGGATTTGCAGCAGCGTCTGCTTTAAAGATAATAACCTCATGATGTCAGCCAGGCAGGAACGTGTTAGCACAGACGTTATCGTAGTCCCCGTCGGAGTAGATCAGTGCCTTGCAGAACCACATTGCAAGGAAATCAGCGTGCTGCCAGAGTTCCTGCTGACACAGGCAGCAAAGGGATGTAGAAAGGATATTTTGAGTGTGTGGCTTTCATTTCTCTGTGCTGAAGTACCTGCCTCTTCTGTTGTCACTTGCAGATAAATTGCAAAACTGCTGTTCCATCTGCTGGAGCACTGGAGGGCTGTACAGTTACTGCTCAGGCATCATGCTGCACTGAGCAGCTTCTCTGCAGGGCTGAGCCATGGTGGGCTGGCACAGGGGCCGGTTTGGGCACTCACACCATGGTGCCAGACTTCTGTGAGGGGTAAAGCTGCAAAATTTGCTTTCGTGTTTTGTGAGCAGGGGTTATCTTGGTGGCTGTTACCTTCTACATGTGTTCATTTAGTCCTGCTTCAGGAGCCCAGACTGCTGGGACAAGCACAAATTAAACCATAATGGTGATGTCTCAGCTTGCAAGCTCCAAATGTCCAAAAAGACATCCCCCCTGCAAAACAAACTAAAAACTAGCACGCACACACACAAAAACAAAACCCAAAACAATCCCACCTGGTTTGGGAAGTGGAGCCTTTGAAGAACTGGCAGTGTGCTGCAGTGCCTGTGGAAGGTCTGTGTATTGGTCTTGTGTGCCCACAAGCAATTGCAAGTGGAAAATTTCACCTCTGGTTTGCAAGCATAAAAAGAGGCTGATTCTGATGGTTTTAGCTAAAGTGGAATATAAATTGGGTGGGAGGTTCTGAGTCTAGCTGATTGATATCTCTGTGGTGGGAGTTTGATCTCAGCTGGGATGCTGGCCTCTGAGAGAGAGAAGAGGGAAGAAGGGTGTTACTTCTATTATGGAATGGTTTTCACTTAGATTTTTAAGCAGACAGAGCCCTCTGTTGCCTGCAAATCACCAACTCTCCAGTGAGTCCTTCTGCTAAATCAGGGTAAAATGGTAATGGCTCAGAAAGCAGAGGAAAAAAAAGGCTATTCTGCAAATACATTTAAAAGTGAACTTGTCTCCCATTCCTTTTTTTTTTTTTTTTTTGGTATTTTGTCACAAAAAGCCTTCTGTGACACATAAAATACGATCACTTCCCTGCTGTGACTTCAGATGGAGAAATATTTACCTAGCATGACACAAACTGTGGGAAAGCCCAGCCCAGCCTCCCCCCCACCCTGCGTCAGAGATTTGAGAAGGATGAAACTGCATCAAGCAGAACGTGGCTTGGAGAGAAAATATGTCTGTATTTGCTCCTGCTGGGACTTTTCCTTTCCTGTAACTGACACCAAAACCAAATATTTTCTCACTGTTTTGCCAGTTTGTTTCCCATTTTACATTTTACATGTTGGTCGTAGCATTTTCCTGTACAACAATGTTCTCAGCGTTTGCTGCAACGGCTTGTGCTGATTTTCAATGAACGTACGTGTCTCTTCTGTCCTGGCTGAGATTTTGTGGTGTGTGGAGTGCAGCAGGGTAACAAAAGCGTTTTGTTTCATTCTGTTTTCTTTAGGGATCCACCAATGTGGTTTACCAAGCCCATCACGTCAGCAGGAGTAAGCGAGGACAAGTTGTTGGGACCAGGGGCGGATTCCGTGGCTGCACGGTTTGGCTAACAGGTATTTTCATCCGCATCACTGCACACATGAGAGCTGCGTGGACAGATGAGGAGGATGGCTTGGAGGCGGTGATTTGGGGTCTGCAGGCAACGCCAGCACTCCTTGTGAGCTGGTGTGAATTTGCAAAGTGATTTGTACAGAAACGAGGTGTTGGCAAAGTAAGATGATCTCCCTGCAGTGCCTGCCCCTAAGTGAGGCTTTTAGAAATTTTGCAGCTGCTCTTGGGGTTTCCGTTTGCTGGCTCCCTTGACTGAACACATGGAAAGCCCTGCAGGTTTCTCTTGGTGTTCCACGCTGAGGAACCCTCGGCTCAAACTCACCCAGTCCCTGGCAGCAAAATGCGCTCAAGATTGTCCAGAACAGCATTCAGAGATTTTCATCCTGGGTCAGAGGAAAGTTCATGGGGGCACCCAGGTTTCCTGTGTTTCAGAAACCTTGTGAGCAGCAGAACAAGTTGGTCTTCTTGTCTGAAAAGGAAATACAGAGACAGTGCCAAAAGTGATTTCTTGCACAGCATTTCATGCGCTTTCTGATGCGTTGCCTTTCTCTTTTGCTTTGAAAAACAAACTCAAGATCTGGGGTGCAGGGAGCATTTATTTTTCTCTGCTGACGTTTACACAACTCTCTTTTTTGACACTTGTCCAGATGTTTCTTTACTTGTTAAGTATTGCCATTCTCTTTGACTGACAGAAGATGTTGCAAGACATGAATGGAAGGATTTGTGAAGCCATTCTGATTCACCACATCACTGTGTGTGCTGAATGCTGGAATAAAGCACATCTCTGTTTTGTTCTCTCTTTCATCTTGGAAAGAAGGCCCGCATCTGATCTGTTTTAACACCATTTCTGAAGCCAAAGCATCCTATCCAAGGCAATCCCCTTCTTTCTAGTATCAATTAAGGACCCTGTATGTGAAAAATTTGAACTTCTTTGACTGATGATTATTCTTTGAAGTGTACGGTGGTCTGCAATCTTCCTGTCCACTGACTTTTAAGAGACCACGTGGGAGGACACTGCTGTAGATTAAGTGTGCGAGTGGACAGAGCTGGGTTGGGATGCATCCACCTCACTTAGGATTGATGACCTTCTGCTGGTGACCCCCTGCCATCCTGTTCCCTTAGCCTCACTTTCAAACCGGAACCTCACTTTGCTGTCTCCAACAGGCCTTTCTGGAGCTGGTAAGACAACCATTGGCTTTGCTCTGGAAGAGTACTTGGTCTCTCATGGCATCCCCTGCTATTCCCTGGATGGCGATAATGTTCGGCACGGCTTGAATAAAAACCTGGGCTTCTCAGCTGGGGACCGCGAGGAGAATATCCGCCGCATCGCAGAGGTGGCCAGGCTGTTTGCTGACGCTGGGCTTGTCTGCATAACTAGCTTCATCTCTCCTTTTTCAAAGGTAAACTGCCTGCGTCATATTCTGCTCTTTCCTGAGCTGCTTTGATCTCATGAATGCTCCTGGGAAAGATGAGCTCGTGTAGAGGACCTTCTATATGTGCCACCAGATCTTCTTCTCTATTCTGTGCAGTGCAACAGGTGTACAGAATTAAACACCATCAGTAGAGTTTTGTGGAGTGCCATTTCACAGAATCACAGAATGGCCAGGGTTGGAAGGGACCTCAAGGATCACGAATCTCCAACCTCCTGCCACATGCAGGGCCCCATCTAGTCTGGCCTTGAACACCTCTAAGGATGGGGCATCCACAGCCTCTCTGGGCAGCTGTTGCAGCACCTCGCCACTCTCATAATAGTTTGACATTGTTTTTGCTTTCAGTTGTACTAAGAATTGGTTAAAGGCTCAGTGGCATTTGAAATCTCATTGTGTAGGCTTCTACTATTACTTTGAAGAAGAATAAGCATAAAATCAATACCCTGTCATAGTGCCATCAATATTCTATTTGAAGGAGTTATTGTATTTTTGTGCTTCCTGAGAATACCGAATGTCTGACAGCATCAAGCCAACACAAACAGTTGCCTTTTTAACACAGAGCAGATAATTATTCACATCCCAATTTTGGCTGTCCTACTTAATGAAGTGGTCTTCTAAAGTAGCTTCAAAGAAAAGGGGGTAACGGGAATAAAAGCCCTTATTAAAATTGGTTTAAATTTAATAAATCTATACCAGAAAGTCATTTACCTCTGTCAAATTTCAGGAAACGTCAGAGAGTAGGAGGGTGCTTATTGCAATGCAGCACGTACCATTTTCCCACCTTTCTTCTCACAGGATCGTCAGAATGCACGGAAAATTCATGAGGCTGCTGGGTTGCCTTTCTTTGAAATCTTTGTTGATGCTCCACTAAATATTTGTGAAAGCAGAGATGTGAAGGGCTTGTACAAAAAGGCAAGAGCCGGAGAGATCAAAGGTATGGAAGAATGAGCTCTTAATTTGCCTTTTGCTTTCCAGAGCTTCAGATAGCTAATCTTTGCAGCTCTGCACGTGGAAAATCTCGAGGTGGGTTAATAAAGGCTCTTTGTGGCACACAAGGGTATCCTGTTTCCCTAATCTTACTGTCACAAGTGTACTCGTAGTACTGACTATGGCTGAATGCTCGTTGGTTGTTTGTGTGGTGTGGACTCTAGGGCACGGAGTATTACATTAAACGTGTTTGGTTTGGGTTTAATTGTCAACAGGATTCACAGGGATTGACTCAGACTACGAGAAGCCCGAATCTCCTGAACTGGTGCTGAAGACGAACATTGCGTCGGTGTCTGAATGCATCCAGCAGGTCGTGGAGCTCCTGCAGACACAAGTAGGTCACTTATTTTTACCACCACCACTGTCAGCTTGTAAATCTGACCTCACATTCTGAGTTCTTGGTGTGCGCTTAAAACCAGCATTACCATTGCTCTCTCTCTTTCAGAACATTGTGCCCTGTGCCTCAATTAAGGACGTTTTTGAGCTCTTTGTACCCAAAAATAAACTTGATGCTGCCCGAGCTGAAGCAAATGCACTGCCATCCGTGGAGATCACAAAGGTATCGTCTCATCTGAATGCTGTGCTGTAACTCAGTCCTTTTGCTGTTTGAAGGGCAGAAGCTTTGTTCAGTGCCTTGTTCATAGAATCATGGCATGGTTAGGGTTGGAAAGGACCTTAAATCTCATCTAGATCCAACTGCTGCCGTGAGCAAGGACACCTTCCACTACATCAGGCTGCTCAGGGCCCCTTCCAGCCTGGCCTTGAGCACCTCCACGGATAAGGCATCCACAGCTTCTCTGGGCATCACCACCTGTCCCAGTGCCTCACCACTGTCTGAGTACAGACTTTCCTCCTAACATCTGATCTAAACCATCACACCGACACGCAGCACCACTTTTTCCCCTTTAGGAACATCCTTTATTTAACAACTGAGACTGCTTTCGCAGCAGAAGGGAGGGAAAAGCAGCACGACTTGGTGACAGCGAGCCGTCTGGGTTTGTTTTGTAGCTGGATCTGCAGTGGGTGCAAGTGCTGAGTGAAGGCTGGGCCACGCCACTGAAGGGCTTCATGCGTGAGGCAGAGTACCTGCAGGTCATCCATTTCGGCACGCTGCTGAACGGTACGGGCCCGCCTTCGTGTTCACTCTGTATGTATGGACATAACACAGCTGTGTGACTCATACCGTGCTTAGTTGTGCTGGGGTAAAGACAGACCAGGGGAGGATGTCAGGCTGAATTTCAAGTGGGAGCAGCTGCTCATTGGAAACAAGGCCAGAGTCTGATTTTGCTTTTCTAGTTCTTATTTTCATATTTCCCTATTACCTTACCCTAAAATAAATCAGATTTAGCTGTTAATTAGCCAGGGGCCTTTTTGTTTCTGGAAGAGGCAAATAAATTCAGGCAGTGCAGGTCAGTTCCTCAGTGGTAGATTTTTGTGTCCCAGGTCTCAGGTATAGATGTGATTGCCATGCACATGGTGGGTTTTGGACCCAGCAGAGGTCTCCAGTCTCAGGGGTTCAGGATCTTGGTGCAGGATGCCCTGTGGGGAGTCTTGCCCTCCTCCTCGAGGACCCTGATATTGCCACAGTCATGCAGGGCAGCAGCTTGGTGCTGGGTTCAACAAAGGCAGTGCTTAGCTCAGGACAGTCTGACAGAGCAGGGTCTGCAGGTGGGCAGCTGGAGCAGTTCCCACATGTTTTTGTAGCTTTTTTCACACTTGGAGGAGCAAACCTACACTGAAGTTTTCATTGAGTTGCTTTGATTCCGCAAACTGTAACAGGTGCCTGTGAGTGTTAATTATCTTAATTATGTTTGTGTTCTCCCAGGAAAGAATTTCTCTGTAACTGGTATGTATGTAACTATCCTTAGGTTATATGGAAATCACGACAATTAGGGTTTCTGCTATTACTTTTTTGCTATTTAAATTATTAAGACTGGACACAAGCACAGCTTGTTTATGATTCAGCTGTTTACCCTGCATCCTACTGACCAGTCCTCACAAAAATCCCAGTAATTTTGTAATTATTCACCTCCACTGGAGTGATTTTTATTACCATCTTGCATTTGGAAGTGGAGTATAGAGATCCTCAGCTTCAGCATTGTTTGTGGGTTTCATAATCCAGCTTTTTCCACGCTGACTTTATTGACTGACAACTGGTTAGTTATGCATAAAATAGATATAATGATTATATTTAATTAATATTTAAATATTAACATATTTAGAAAGATTACTCAGATGACTTCGTATATTTAATTGGTTGATTGGTTCATATGTGACAATAGTTATGGGTACCCAATTACTCATCGAGGTGCTTGAAAATTGCTGCCTGTCAAATGAATGATGTCTGGTCATGAATTGAAGCAAATGAAAGCTTTTTAAAAAAATTAAACAAAATAACCAAAATCTTCCAATTAAGAGTCTCAGGCATCCAACGTGATTTCTGTCAGATCCAAGCAAAGTCAATCGGTGATTTGTGATCTGTTTGTTCTTGTTCATGAATGGCAACCCATGAAAAAAACCCATGATCTCAGTGTGTTAATGCTGGTGTGGCCAAGTAGAAGAGGTGTGAGCAGAGGTGGTTGTTCTGAAAGAGGATACATGGGCTATAGCCAGGGCTGCGATCACCAAGAACTCTTAAACTCTCCAGAAACTTTAAAACAACTAACTGGAAAAGAACAAATCTTTCTGGGAGAGAAAGAGAACAATGAGATACTCCAGGTGCCCTTAGGACATCTCTGACACCGAGATAAAGAGCTTTCTTTGCCCACTAATGTGAGCATTTGCTTACAGCACAAAACAAAAATTGGGCAGTGAATAAGTTGATGTCACTGTTGGTGAGTGCCTGAGATATCGGTAGAAAACTTGGCCTTCCTCTTCAACAAGAGAATTTGTGCCTCTGAATTATAGAATCAGGAGGTTGGAAAGGACCTACAAGATCATCTAGTCCAACCATTACCATTGCTACCACAAGCCACTAAACTGTGAATATCTCAGTGCACTCCAGCCTCTCCCACCAACCCCCTGTAGTCCTTCCCAAGTGCCAAGAGGATGCTGCTTTAGGTCTTTAGAGGATGCTGACATCCACCCTTCTCTTTGCAGACGGTGTCGTCAACCTGAGCATCCCCATTGTGCTGCCAGTCTCAGCACAGGACAAGCAGCGGCTGGAGGGCTGCGGGGCGCTGGCGCTCAGCTACGCGGGGCACAGGGTGGCCATCCTCAGGGACCCCGAGTACTTCGAGCACAGGAAGGAGGAGCGCTGTGCCCGCATCTGGGGCACCACCTGTGCCAAGCACCCACACGTCAAGGTGGGTCGGTGCCATCCCTCCTGCTGCTGGAAACCTGGGCAGGGTCCGAGTTATGCACAGGAGAGCAAAACCTTTCCAGGGTTTCCACGCTGTTAGCCCACCTGGCCTAGCTCCTCTTGGAGGGCCAATGCATCTTAAGCGTGCAGGAGGACTGAATATTTAGGCTTACATACTGCTTAACAAGAGCATCAGTCAGGTAATAAGTGATTCAGAGGGACTGTGATCACACTGCTAAGGAGTTGCTACTTTCATTTCCTCCTCTTTACCAGTATACCAACATCCAAATGTTTTTAGCACAGCCAGCAGCTCAAAGACTTCCTGAACCTGGGGGTGTGAAAGTTTCCTAGAATCATAGGATCAGTAAGGTTGGAAAAGATCATCTAGTCCACCAACAGCCCATTGCCACCACCCACACCACTCTTGTACGATCAACAAATATACAATCAGCAGAGCAGTGTGGTTAGGCTGCTATCTACAGGTCTTATAACTAGAAGGATTATCAGGGTGGAAAGGGATCATTAAAAATAAATAAAAATCCTCACCTGTGTCCTAGGCTCAAAGAAAAACTCCCAAGGGAGCAATCTCCAGGAAGAGATCCTTCCTCAGTGTCAGTCAGCCCTTAAATGGGGTCTGGGAGAGGTGCAGCCAGGCTCCAGCCCTTCTGGTCATGCAGCTGAATTGCCTTCACCTGTGTTCCTGTGGCTGACTCAGTGCTTGCCTCAGGTGGTCAATCAGAGGTTCAGGCCATGATTCAAAGTCCCCATATACCACTAAAGAAGCCGTGTCACTCAGTGCCACATCTGCTCTTGCTTTGAGAGCCTCCAGGGATGGATGCTCTCAAACACTGACACAGCAGACCCCTGGCTGTGCTCTTTTTATCTACAGGCTACTCCTCAATTTGCCTGTGTCGTACTGGCAGTCAGCAAAGGAGTTGTTCTTATAGTTCATGAGTTCTTTCCCACTGTCACATAGCGAGGGACTGTTCCGGGTTACGCCAACTGACTTGAACTTCAAAGGTCAAAGCAATGCTAATTCTCTTCTTCTAACTTAAAATACCTCCGTTAATTATTTAGCAGCAGTTGCTCTCTTGAAACAGGCATCTTTTTATCTTAGTTGTGAAAGTTTAATGATGCCATTGATGGTGAGAAAAACAGCTGTGACAGTACATTAAGGCAAATTTGAGGATTTCATACAAAGCCTTGTGCAATCCTAAGTGGGTCAGCACAGGGTAATGAGGTCAGTAGCTTCATTATTGCAGCTGAGGGAGATTTCCTTAAGGTCGTGGGGCTATGCACTCCCAAAGCAGTGCCCCAGCTGGGAAATAGCATTTCCAGTGCTGGATGGAATGGAGGGTGGACAATAGAATGGTGTTGCCATTACCAGAGTGCTGCTCGCAGAGGGAGGGCTTTGCAGGAGCAAAAGTTGGGGTGGAAGAAGGGCTGTGCTGTAACTTCTTGGCCCTGGGCTGCAGGGGGGAGCAGAGCGCACAGCTGAGTGTGGTGGTGCAGTCACTGGTGCCTTGCCATTTTTGACCTACAGTACACAGAGAGAGAAAGGAGGATCACTCCACAAGCAGAACCGTGCATAACGTGTTTCGGAGGAGACTGGGAAATGAGAGAGGGGGCTTTTTGCCATCCTGAAAATACACGTGTAATTCACAGATGGTGATGGAGAGTGGAGACTGGCTGGTGGGGGGAGACCTCGTTGTGCTGGAAAAGATCTGTTGGAATGATGGCCTGGACCAATACCGCCTGACACCGCTCGAACTCAAGCAGAAGTTCAGAGAAATGAACGCTGGTGAGCACCTTGGGTTAGTGCCAGTGACACCACTTCTCTTGCCAGGGATTCTCCCCATCAGTTCTGTTATTTTGCATGTGCCACTGGGTCATACTTCACACTGTGTCATCAGAACCCCACAATAGAGCACAGACGTTTTATGGCCTGCAGCTGTGTCATTTCAGACTGGAATATTTCAGGGAAGTGTTTCTAAGGGGGTTCTGCCTAAGGCAGCAGGCTGAGAGGTAGGAAGTGTTGTACACCCTAAGGTCAGTTGCTTCCTTGTGAATTCCTGTTTCTGAGCACCAGAGGTGTTTGTGTGAACAGCCCTGGCTAAGGAGCGCTTCTGCAGTTGTACGTGGAGCAGCCAAGTCTGGGAGCTCCATTCTGTAGCTCTGGCATTGTAATTAGAGCCATAAATCACAGAATCACAGAATCACTAAGGTTGGAAAAGACCTATAAGATCATCCAGTCCAACCATCCACCTATCACCAATGGTTCTTGTTAAACCATATCCCTCAACACAACATCCAAACGTTCCTTGAACACCTCCAGGGAATGGGACTCCACCACCTCCCTGGGCAGCCCATTCCAGTGCCTGACCACCCTTTCAGAGTAGTATTTCCTAATATCCAGCCTGAATCTTCCCTGGTGCAGCTTAAAACCATTCCCTCTAGTCCTATCACCAGTTAAATCTTCTGTTATACCTGACAGCTCAGGCTCTTTCTCATCTCTGCCACCCCAAAATGGCTTTTGTAGTATTCCTGCAGTATCAACACATTAGGGCTAATTAGGTTGAATATGATGTTGACTCTTTCTACCCTCTCTTGCCACAGCAGTGGCATCCGAGCAGCAGATGCTAATCCCCTAGACACTTGTTTCACTGCTGTGTTCAGAGGGGAAGAGTGTATTGGCCTTTGTGAAGATGACATTGTGAAGTTGTGTAGATGACAGATTGCTTAAAGAGCCAGGAATCTCCTCAGGGATTTGGATTTGTGTCCAGTGCCAACCAGAAACAAGGCAGAATTGCTGATCAGACTAATATCAGCCCCAAAGGAAGGATGTGCAATGAAAATAAATTTGACAGAGCAATCCAGAGGTGCTGTACGTGCGTATTTAAGGTCTGTTTCATGTGAAGATAGGACAGCAGATCTGTGCCTGTCTCCTGACTGTGTCAGACTGTACAGAGCATTTAAACGAGGCAGAGCAGAGTGAAGATCAGCACAGGCCCATGACCCTCTCACTTTTCTGTTTCAGATGCTGTCTTTGCATTCCAGCTGCGCAACCCTGTGCACAACGGGCATGCCCTGCTCATGCAGGACACGCGGCGCCAGCTCCTGCAGAGGGGCTACAAAAACCCCGTGCTTCTCCTGCACCCCCTGGGTGGGTGGACCAAGGATGACGACGTTCCGCTGGAGTGGCGGATGAAGCAGCATGCAGCAGTGCTTGAGGAGCACGTCCTGGACCCCAAATCCACTGTTGTTGCCATCTTCCCCTCTCCCATGCTCTATGCTGGCCCCACAGAGGTAAGGTAGCTGCTGGATGCTTGCTGATAGGCCCTGTCCTTATGCATTCAAATAGCAAATAGCTTCTTCTGTTCACCGTCACACTGGAACAAAATGGGTTCCAGTCCTGGTGTTTTCCACTGCCATACGTATCCACAGAAAAGCTGAGATGTTGCCCCAGGTCCCCCCAGTGAGAGATGAATCTGTGTGTGTGCTGACATGAGAAGTGGTGTGGCTGCTCACATCTCCACTCCAGTCCTTCCCTGCTGCACGCAAGCTCTGGCTGGCCAGGAGCTCCTTGCAGTCAGGGCTGTTGGGCTCAGCGCTCCCCGTCTCTCCTTCCCAGGTGCAGTGGCACTGCCGGGCTCGCATGATTGCTGGCGCCAATTTCTACATTGTGGGGCGCGATCCTGCAGGCATGCCTCACCCCGAGACCAAGAAGGACCTGTATGAGCCCACACAGGGAGGGAAGGTGCTCAGCATGGCGCCGGGCCTGACGTCAGTGGAGATCATCCCGTTCCGTGTAGCGGCTTACAACAAAGTGAAGCGAGCTATGGATTTTTATGAACCAGAAAGGTAACGTCTTCTTTTCTTTAGCCTACACAGCTGCCGGGGAGGCGTTTCACCACAACTGCAGCTCGTTTGGAGAAAGCATCTCCCTCAGGAGACTGTGCTGCTGCTGATAGGAACCTCGGCATGGGACGCCACTGGCGGGGAGGTGGTACCAGGGGTTTGCAGCTGCATTCCTGGCAGGGCTGAACAGCTGCACTGGGACAGCTTGGGCCACTTGGCTGACCTCACCCCTTCTCTGTTTTGCTTTAGGCACGATGACTTTGACTTCATCTCAGGAACACGCATGAGAAAGCTCGCTCGCGAAGGGGAAAACCCACCGGATGGCTTCATGGCCCCCAAAGCTTGGAAAGTGCTAACTGAGTACTACCAATCGCTGGAAAAAAAGAATTAACGCTACTTCTCCTCCTAGCAATACTTGTATTAAGAGTGAGCGATGATTGATTGATTCCCTATGATAGAGATCAGCTACATGGCATTTTCACTATTCTGACTAGTGGAACTTTCCTGCCTGGATCAGAGTAGTTTTTAATAATCAGAAATACTTTGAACCGAGTCCTCCTCCCCTCGGAGCTGGAGGAGGAGGGCAGTCAGCCCTTTGCTTCCAGCCTGGTGCAGCTCCAGGATGTCTGGTGCAGCGTTGGATGGGGCCAGCTGGCTCATTTGGTGCTGCTGGGCAAATCTGTGTGCCTGCATGGAACGGAAGCAATGAAGTGTCCTTCCTTTACCCCTTGCCCAGCGCTGCCCCAAGAGAGGGAGCAAGGAGTGGTTGCTGCTGGCCCTCAGTGCTTGGATCCAGTTGCTGCTCTCGAGGTCGTGCCTTAGACATTTGCTAACAGTGAGACTTTTTAGTGCCTTTTTATAAACAGCCTCATTGCCGAGTCAGTGCCTCACCGTTCTGTTCTTCCTCCTGCTTGCCCCCTCTGGTAAAAAAAAAACAACTGGCTGTGATCCTGGTGCTCTAAGCTCGCTTCCCATGGGGACACTGGGACTCCCTGTGCTCATATTCCAGTGGGCACCATGGCGGCCGTGTGGGGCATCACGCAGCCTGGGAGATCGCTGAGAAGATGCTGGTCACACAGGACAGCGCGAAGGGCCGAACTGGGGCTGCCTTTGCCTGGTGGAGAGCTCTTGCAGCGCTACTCTGGTTTTCCCCACCATGGACTTTGCCATCACACCTCGTGCCTTCCCTCTGATTTGTGCTGCCGTGGCATTAGGAAAGGTGAGCAGCGCCTTCCCTGACAGCTGTGCTCGGATGGGAAGTTTTATGGGACAGCAGAGGGAAGGCAGCGCATTACCACCAGGTTTTGTGGCCTTTGCACGCACCCACTTCAGTCAGTTCCCCAGGGCTGTTCAGCACGGGTTTCACAGGAACCGTGCCGCCTTTTAATTACAAATGGGTCCAGGCTCAACAAGAACAGCCCTGGTTCTGCTGGGGACTGCACATCAAGCAACGCCACAAGCTCAGATCTGTTTTGCTGTGGCCACGGTGCGGTATCCAAGACTACGTATGCAATTGGGATTATTTTTGTAAGAAGCGTTCTATTTTTCATTTGTCACCTGATGCTGGTTTCCTTTTTGTAATCTTTTTATGTATTCAAAGGGAAGAACAAAAAGCCGTGTTATACCTCACGTCGTGCTGCAACCACCCCGGCAGTAGCCGAGAGCATGCTAGCACCAGTGCCTTCCACACGCAGGCCCTCTGGCAGGGACCTGGAAGACAAAAGCAAGATGCTGATTTTTAATTGCAATATTGGCCATTTTGAAGCAGCAGTTAGCTGTCGCCTCTCATCCCAAAAGAATCAAGCAGTGCAAGACAATGTACTTAATCCAGACGGTCACAGCAAAACGCAATTGTTGAATTGTTCTTTTAAAATAGCTTAGTATACAGATTACCTCTGATTAAAATAATGTGGACTAGGTTTTTTTTGTGTGTATTTATTAAAGACATGAGACTGGAATTTGTACCTCAACTGATGCATCTCCTGATTTAATATATTCTGACCTTGATACTCTGAGACACTCACTTTTAGTACAAATAAATATTTATATGTGTAAACCAATGCTTACATTGTGGTTGTTGGCTTATTTCGAGTCGGACGAGGCACATTCAGCAGCACTGAGCACTGTGCTGCCTGCTGCTCCCAGACCCCAAGCACCCCTCAAGATGAGTTTCCCACACACCAGAGGGGGTTTCCCATCTCCAAACCTCGCTCAAATAAGGCTGTAAAGAAGCAGCATTTGCAGCATTCAGATACACTTGTAAAGATTATATTCTTGCATAAATCCTGCAGTATCCCCAGGCTCCCTGGCAAACTGCTGGGAAGGGCCTCCAAGGTGTGGAGGAGTCCTTGGAGAAGTGGGAACAGCTCAGCTGCAGGAACTATCCCTTGGGCAACTGCAGATCACCCCATGTGCCTCCCACCCTCCCTTCTCGTAGACCTGCAGGATGCATTATGGGCGCATGGTGAAGGCAAGATGAGGCAGCATGCCAACAGCCCCATTGCTGGGGACACACGGACAGGACCGCAGCGTTCAGCTGGGGTCCGGGGTGCTCCTGCAGGCATTCCTGTGTTCAGGTTTGATGTTTAACCTCGCACTCGGTCTGTTTATAAACCAGGATTAAACCGCTCCCCCCAAGTAGCACACGCTCTGAAGAAGGAAGGAATGCAGCTGAACGCGGACGGAGCAGCTCGAGCTCTGCTGCTGGTGCATGCATAATCCCAGCCCCCAGAGAAACCACCAGGATTGATTACAAAAGTCAGATTTTGCAGCTCACCCCCCTGCAGTGTGGAGGGTGGCTCCCTGTCCTCCAGGGGCTTCCAGGTGCTCACACTGCTTTTTCAGCCCACAAGCTGAACTCACACTGTCAGCAGTGCCTGGCACCAGACAACACCTCACCCTGGCTCTCTCATTGCAGGTTGTTTCGTTTTCCACTGTCACCCTGCTTTTGCTGCTTACCTCTCTGCGGCCAGCAGAGCTGTGACAGTGCACTGCCCCTTGGGTCGCACAACTGTGATGATGTTTCTGTGTCAAATCAGTGCACAATTCACAATTATTAGGAAAAATTAAACTACTGACAATAACTTTACCAAAAGACTTTGCAACTTACATTTTAACCCTTTGCCTTTATCACTACATAGCATTACATGAATTTACCAAACTGTTACCAACAAGTACAGCAGAACAGTGCTAAATCATATTTATAAACCTGAAGTTGCCTCCTCATTGCCTTCAGTTTTGCGTGGCAGAGCAGGTGACGCAGCAAAGCACCATACAACACCTCCCCTTGCCATGGCACAGTGGTGCAGTGCAGCAGCGCCTCTTCCAGAGGAGATGAAACAGCAGTAGGCCCCCATTGTGACACATAACACATCAGAAAGCACAGCTTCAAAAACCTCTAAAAGGTGGGGCTTAAGGAAAAAGCAGTTAAGTAGACTCTACCCTTAACTACATCACAGTGGAGGGGAAAAATAAAAATAAGAACAGCATTAAAATGCCTCCAAATGCAGAATTCATACAAAAGAAAAGGCATTCAAACATTTTTACAGTAGTTACTATCTTTACTCAATGGCACCAGATTTCAAGTGGTGATGTGAAAAAAAAAAAATATCAGTAACATTTCCAACTTTTCCTCAAAGTTATTCTAGAAGCAGAATTTCTACTTGCTGCTCGAAGGAAGAAGTAAATGTGAGCTGAGTATCGATGAATCTATACATCTTCTGATTTGGTTTCATTCAAGAAGTAGAAAAGATTTCCCATACTCAAGTTATCTACATCTTATGTCTACATATAAAAACAATGCGTGGATATATACATGTAATACATACACACACACTTGTATGTATGCACACAGCCTGGCAGCAGGCGGCTGCTGCCCTCACACCACACCAGAACCTGCTTTAAGGCTACACAGTGCATCCATAAGGGACAAGACACAGGCAGTTGCTCTTGGTCTGAGCTGTAATTGTTCCACTTCGTGATCTACTGTTACATTTCTAGTTGTGCATGACAAAAATTTCAATAACTTAGCATTTGCTGTATAAAAACAATTCCAGAAACAGAACTCCCTCATTCAAGGAGTGTCCCCACTCCCAGCCCCTCACGCTGCTTTCGCTAACTGATTACAGAATACAAATCACGTCACATCAGAAACAGCAAGCGCACTCCTTAGCCTTAATCTATAATGACATGCATCAGGTCATCGTGCAGCGTGGCATTCTTTGACTTCCTCATCTTCTCAATTGCCCTGTGGAGATCCTGCTGCTGCACAGGCCGAATTTCATCTTCATCACGGCTTCAGGATAAAGAAAGAAAAGAAAATCGAGAGTCATTTGGGTGACGCGTGGCACCAATTCAAACAAAGAGAAGTAAACTCTGAGAACAGCAGCTCTGACTCTGACCCAGCATTACCCTTAGACTGTGCTTCTATCCCTGCATGCTGTCTACCTGCAAGCATGGGAGATAATCAGAGGAACATAACAGAGTACAGTTCCATGTGTACAAGAGCATTGTGTTACCAGAGTTTTAAGCTGGTAGCACAGTGCAGTAACGTTACTCTTGCTGGTTTTTGCCAGCTCAAGCTTGAGGCCTTGGAACAAATAGTCTTATTTTGATTATCAAAATGAATAAGATAACTTATTGGGTTTTCTTGGTTGTATAGTGGCAGTTTGTCAAGGAGAGCACCTTCTGTTTTCTGTTAATCAGAGAGAGGTTTGACAAAATTGCTAAAATTTGCCACTCATATCAGAAAACAAAACCTAATAACTGCACAATACGTAGCACCAAGAGCCTTCCCACCTGCTGCTTAGCTATTGTAACAAAATAAAGGCACGTACTTCTCTTCTTCACAGGCAGAATTATTAACATATTCCCTGACGCAGAGGAGCGCTGCGTCCCGGCACATTTCTTTCAGATCACTTCCTGAGAATCCATCAGTCTCTTTGGCGACTTGGAGGAGATCTACATGCCTGTCCACCTGTCCAAAAACAAGAGAAAAGAGCATGGAAACCCTGAAGTCGTCACTTTGTTTACAAGTACAATAATGGTCACCTCCAAGTATTTTTACCTGCCCTAAGGTGGGGTTTTTTCCATCTTGCCTTTTTGAGAGCTAAAAAGAAAACTATTTGATAAAGTTATGCTCTGAACTCTCCCAGGTAACCAGTTTCATTAAATGAAAGTGATGTTTCATCCGATAAATCTCTTAAGCATGAACAAGCAACCACATGTGAATCATCACACAGGTGCCACCTGTTTCTGACAAAGTTCCTGGGCAGCATTTTCGGAAGCCTAATGGCTGGAAAACAGGATAGCAGAAATAACAACTCAGTTTCCCCAACACCCTCACAAGTTCCTTGCAACTCACAACGAACACCACCCAATGGATCCCCCTTCTTAGCCACAGCCTTTTTTAGTTTGTTTTTAACATTATTTGAGAGACAGCATTTTATTTGCATAAACACTTGCTTTGACCAGTAATACAGCAAGGCAGGAAAAAGTTTACCTTTTGTTGTTGCCACCTCTCAGTGCAGAGTAAGAACTTCAAAAGCTGTTGGTTGAGTTACTGAACAACTAATCCTATTTTACACAACCATGAAAGAGAGAACTTAGAGGCAAAAGAACATCTCCAATCCCATGCACTGGATCAGTCTGGGCTCATTCTGGTTGAGTCCTCGTATTTATTCATCCAGTTTACAGCTCCTTCCAGCAGATTTTCCACGTACCCACATTTTCCTTTCAAGAAGCTGGAGTGATGGACTGATGGCATCAGTGGACAAAGGAAGGGCAACTGATGTCATCTACCTGGACCTGTGCAAGGCCTTTGACTTGGTCTCCCACCCATCCTTATCTCTAAATTGGAGAGGTATGGCTTTGAAGGGTGCACTATTCTGTAGATAAGGAATTGGTTGGAAGGTTGCAGCCAGAGGGCTGTGATCAATGGTTCTATGTCCAGGTGGAGGCTGGTAACAAGTAGTGACCCTCCAGGGATCTGGCTTGGGATCAGTATTCTTTAACATCTTTATCAGTGACAAAGATGATGGGATTGAGTGAAGCCTCAGCAAGGTTGCTAATAACATTGAGATGAGTGGTGCTGTTGATACAGCAGAAGGAATGAATGCCATCCAGAGGCACTCCGATCAACTCAAAAGGTGGACCCTTGTGAAACTAATGAGGTTCAATAGAACAAAGTGCAACGTTTTGCACTTGGTTTCAAGACAATCCCAGATATGTACACAGATTGGGAAAAGAACTCCTGGGAACAAGGACTTAGGGGTTCTGGTTGATGACAAACTGACCATGAGCCAGCAGTGTGCCCTTACAGCTCAGAAGGCCAATGATATCCTGGGCTCCATCAGAAGAGGGGGGGCCAGCAGGGACAGGGAGGTGATTGTCCCTCTCTACTCTGCCCTCATAAGGTCCCACCTGGAGTACTGCATCCAGGTGTGGGACCCCCAATACAGGAGAGATGGAGCTTTTGGAGAGGGTCTAAAGGAGGGCCACGAAGATGATCAGAGGGCTGGAGCATCTCTCCTATGAAGACAGGCTATAAGAAATGGCTTGTTCAGCATGGAAAAGACTGCAGAGAGACTTTATTGCAGACTTTCAAAATTTAGAAGGAATTTAGAAACATGAGGGAAACGTTTTTACACAGGTATATAGTGATAGGATGAGGGGGAATGGTTTTAAAGAAAAGGAGATTCACATTAGATGTCAGGGGGAAGTTCTTCACAGACACAGTGGTGAGGTGCTGGAACAGGCTGCCCAGAGAGGCTGCAGGTGCCCTGTACCTGGAGGTGTTTAAGGCCAGATTGGATGGGGCCCTAGGCAACCTGAACCAGTACCTGATCTGGTGTCTATGGCAGGGAGGTTGGAACTGGATGATCTTTGAGGTCCCTTCCAACCCAAGCCATTCTATGATTCTAAGGTGTTAAGGCCAAAGCAATCTAACCGAAAGGCTGAGATTAAGGAGTGATTTGTAAGAGGGAGATAATTCCACAGAACTGGCTGGATGGTAGTAAAGGCAAAGCCTAGCTGTCTCTCAGCGCTTTGCTTTAAGCATGGTCCTGCAAACAAATATGGAAGCCCACATGGGTCAGCTGTGGAGCCACCCAGTTTGGCCATCAACAACTGGATGCAGCAGTGTAGCTGGCTAAGAAGAAACTGAAAATGGGGATGCTGTGCTGCAGTTACTGACAAGGATATCCCTTCAAGTCAGGAAGATGAAGCAGTACTTTGGGACAGGAAGGGAAAATAGCAGGCATGCCTACAGCCGCCATTTGAAGGGGCTGTCCAAAGCTTGTTCCCTAGATGGAAAGAAACTAGGCTTGAGAGATCCCCCTCCTCCAGCACAGGCTGATTTTCACCCCCTGCCCCCAGCAAGCGTCATTTGCATAGCTGGGATTCCCTGCCAGGTGCTTGATATACCTTACGCTCTTTCAAGGCCACATTCAGAAGCTGATTGAGGTTTCCCTTCAATGACATAAGAGCAAGGTGCTTGAACTCACAGGCCCAGCAGCCCAGGCAAAGGATCTGCACAAGTCTGATTGCATGCAAAAGCTGGCTGCAGTTACTGGGGAAGCCTGCTAGAAGGTCTGTTATTTGGCACACCTTCCTAACAACTCTTGAAAGGAGTAATGATTTGGAACCACAGTTTGCAAGAGGTTTAATTTGTCTGATGCTTGCTGCAAATAGGTCAGATTTTCTTCCACAACTCCCTTGGCTTTTAGCATCAGTTCAGTTTTTGCATTTATTGTCAACCTGCATTCCAATCCAACACAAATGATCCCAAATGACCACCTGAAAAACAGCCTCTTCAATATCTGCCATTCATGATGATGAGCTGCAACTCTGAAGCCTCTTAAAAATATCATTTGTTAGTAAAACCAACTGATTTTTTTTTTTAGAATATGCATCAACAGACCCCTTGCAACATTAACTTGATGAGAATTAGTGCTGCAGCCTAAATTCAGTAAGATTTCTAGATGCACTCACTGCTACTTTTCTTTTCATCTTGCAACCCAGATGTGACAGTAATAATATATTTAATATATATAGTATAATTTCTAAAAACATCCATAGTAGTTTTCCCAAAAGGAAGTATGAACTATGAATCAAAGTGGAAAAGCAGAACGGAAAGTCAGAAAAAGTCATTCCTCCATTCTGAATGTGAGCCAACAAACCACTGAGTTAAAGAAAATCGGAATGTCTTCTTCCTCAGTGAATGATTCTTCACAATATTTCTTTCACTGATCAAAGCTATTTCCAATCAAGGTTCACCTTTAGCTGCATCTTTAGTGAGATGAACATATCTTGTTTTAAGAAAAGAAAATGGGGACAAGAAAAGTTATTTTCCTCAATGGCTCGCACTTAAGCAGTAGAGGGAACTCTACTGCTTCAAACTGACACCACACTTAAGAGCACAAAAGATTCCTAAGTTATAATCAGGAATACTCTGGTAGCTCATTGCTACCTTCTCTCAAGAAAATCAATTACAAAACATTTGCAACAACTCCAGAGCATGTGCTCATGGCAACAGTATTATAGTAAATTAACCATCAAGAGGAGTCTACTTACATTTTCATTTTTCAGAATTAGCTTCAAGATTGCTTCTCTTTGTTTCAGAGCCTTAAACAGAAGAGATTTGTTAAAGTTTTGGAAAACAAAAATAAACATAAGCAACATCCACATCAATCTTGCACTAAGTGGGCTTTTGGGTCAATTTCAGTGACAAAATCTGATCCCTCAAATGGGAGACATGAAACACCGTAAGGAAACCTATCTGACAGCAATTAGGGAAATCGCTCAGCAAAATCTAGGGCGCTCTGACTCCAGGAGCACATGCAGCTGAACACTTGAGCATACACATTTACACTAACTATAGAGAAAGAGAAATGCACTGCTGTTTAGTCTTACTTTGCCCTAAGTACAATCAGCTGTCCCCAAGGATTTCCTATCATCTTTAACAGAAGGCCAGTTCAAATAAGATAGGTCTGGGAATAGGACTGTTCAATTGCACAGTCGACGACAGTTTTAATCCTTCAGTCTCTTAGTTTCTGCACAAAATGAAAATTAAGCACATTACCATAGTTAGAAAGGAATGCTGACAACCGCAACTAGCTTTTTACAATAACACAAGACATTTTTGTATTGACATCATGAAGTGCTCAAAGGCTACTGAAATACCTTGGAAGGGATGACAATAGCAAAACATACAGTGAGGGTAACATTGTGACTGCTGGCCTTCTTGATACAGACCTTAATTTACCGCCCACTTGGAGTAAATTGTGGAGAATAAAAAGTAAAAGTTTTCAACATTGCTTGCTGTGCTCAAATACGGAAAGGCTTAAGCAGAATGTAGGTTTTGATACCCTCTTCTCTCCTTGAAGTCTAAGCATCACGTATCCAGAAACTGATGTACCCCCAGTCTGGTTGTCACTCTGTCCCATAAAGCAGTGTGTGCAGACAATGTTGTGCCTTTTGTGGTTGTTTACAAGTTAGAACTAAGCTCTCCCCAAAAGGCAGCCTGTGAAGTGAGCTGCCTCTCACCTCAGCGCCACTGCCTTAGAAAACAACTTATTAAACAAAGAACTTCAAAGATGCTGCTCCTGGTACAGGCCTTCTAGCTCATCCTGCCCTGCCTGCAGCTGCCTGATACTGCCTCACGGAATTCAGTAACTGTGTTACCTTGCACTGCAGAGAAGACAGCTAATGTACTCAGAAAGAAGGCAAAGCATCAATAGCAAAGCTGCACCGGAAAACAGCACAGTACTACTAGCATGAAGAGTGTCCAGTGCCAACTGCTGTGAGCAGAGATGGGATGTGCTCAGGTCTTACGCCAAGGACTTCCTCAAGCTACATAAAAATGCACAAAATCAGTTTATTTTGTATTTATTTATCCCACAGCAAGGAAAGAACGACTGAGTATAGCATCTAGATGAAAAAATGGGTTGGAAGCTCTCAGGACAGACAGATGGAGTTCTTTCAGGTAAAAGAACCAAGGAACTAGCTTTTTCTGGCAAACTCTGCCCCAAAAGCAGAGTTCTATATGCTTCTAAAAACACTAAAAGTGGACCAAAACAGTACTCCATCTCTATCTCTTTGAAAAAAAATCAACCAGATACGTGTCTTTTGTGGCTGATAAAGCACCTGCCTGTTGCTAGTCCCCAGGCACTGTTTCAGCAAAGCTGGCAGGACTTACAGGTTGGTTGATATGAAAGCGGGTCGGCATCCTTCTCATGATTGCAGAGTCAAGGTCCTGAGGACGGTTGGTGGCTCCCATCACAATGACCTGCATACACAAAACAACAACTCAGCCTGATACCCGATTTTAAAAACATTATCACACTGCAATTTCAGAACAAAAAATGTGACTCTTCCACTCTTTATTAAGAGCATCAACATTTAAATAAATTACATAAGGCTTCTTGGTACTGATTTAAGCAACAGGATTTAACCATGCAGCTCACGAGAGCATTGGTACCACACAGCACCACCTGGACAGAGATTTTTATGCGAGTCTGACACCCTTTGATCCTGAATTGAAAGTTCAAACACCGAGCAGTAACTCAGAGCTTTTGACTATAGGAAGTGGTCTGGAAGGGACTTGAAAGAAGATACGTTGATCAGGTATGAAAAATCTTTTCATTCTTATGCAACGTTTAAAAAAAAAAAAAAAAAGAGTTCCCTAGAAAGACCAAATGGGCAGTTTTTACAAATAGCTAAAATGTTGTTTCCTTTTTTTTTTTTACATTTAGAAAGCATTAAAAATCAAGCAGAACCTATATACCTTTAGGTATACCTGTGGTATACCTATAGCATACTAAAGGAGCAGTGCAGTAGATGTGTATAAGCCAAGTTCCACACAAGGAAAGCATTACCTCATTTAACTGGACTTCAGTTGTTAGCTTAAGGACAAATTTACTTCCCATTGACATCAATCTTGTATTCTCATTCATTATTTTAAGTTATGTACATTGTAAACGCCCAGTCACAACAGTGAAAAATGTCCAGAATATAAATTTCCTATCAATAGATACTTCCTGATACCCTCCTGCTCCTTTGTCTGGGGTCACTGTTCTGAAACGAGCCCTGGCACCTCCTGCTTGCATCTTCTGCATCAGAGCCACCCTGCCACCTAGAGGCTTAACAATACTGTGGCAAACTGCTTCACAGAAAAAGCCAAAAGGCTCATTTTTAGCTGGGGCTCAGGCAGTCTTAACCACAAGTCTGTCTACAAAGGGTTGTGCATGCAAATTCCGCGGTCTTGTTTGCATGTCCAATGCTTGCTGATGCAAGAGGCATCACTGCATCCCTGCTGTGCTTCCCGAGGGTCTGTCAGGGCCCAGCATTACTCTCAAGGTGGTTTTCTCTCTGCACCAGGGCTAGGAGCCTTCCCAGAACTGGCTTTGTCAAACACAAGCTTCTCCAAGCATGAATGCAGCAGCCAGGGCTTACAGCTTTGAGCAGAGCAGCCCCATTTCCCAGGCACTGAGCCTTTAGTCCCTGCCAGACTCAAGATGACAGCAGGTTCAGGCCAAAGCCGAAGATACTTTTCAGCTGCAATCAGCAAAGGAACAAGTAATGCTCATTATAGTGATTTTACAATTTCCTCCTAATACTGGAAATTTTTTGTATGGTAATAAAAGCCAAATTTCATCCTTGTTTAAAGGAAATTTGTTTGACAAGAATCAGACAAGCAACCCAAACCTCCCAAGTAAACACTGGTATGGAACAAAAGAGCCCCATGAGCTGGCTGTCAGAAAAGAGATGATCCACATGTCAAAACTACTGCTCCAGGAATGTCAAAGGGAGGAGCCTGAAATACTGTACCAAAAGAAAACACTCCTGCTAAAAAACTCCCCAGAAACCTGAATCAATCCCAGTGTCACCAATCAACTGTTTGCACTGCATTTTTATCCCTATGGCTCTCTGCCATGCAGAGGCATAGCAAGTAAGGGACAACAGTAACTTGCTCAGGTTCAGCATGCTGAACTTGAGATGCATAAGGCCACACATTGTCTTACTGCACAGAACAACCTGACTTGCTACAGGAAGTTGCCACTAGATTGGAAACCAGGTAACATTCACACACTCCACAGAAAGTGCTTGCAAGATCATAGCTTACACTTAGGTGATCGTACCACTAGCGATAAACAAACACTGCTTAAAGCCTCTGCACACCTACATTCACCATCTCTGAATCTGTTTTAAAAATCCACTGAAAAGCAGGTTTCAGTATGCACAAGCCAGAGCAGGAAGAGCCAATTTTATAAAGAAAAAACTGATGGGGAGCAGAGAATCAGAATTCATTCACAGTAAAATACAAATTTAAGAGGCTGAAAATCAGCTATTTAAAGAATAACCATCCTTTTCTAAAACCTTAAAATCATCGCTTCAGGTGACACCTTGGGAGCAGGCTTTCCTCTATGTGGCATCCAAGTCATGTTCTTTACAAAACCTGCTGATGCTTTATACTTTTTCCCCCCCCTCTAAAGCAGAATGTTTTTATAAAGGTTATGGGAAGGGGGGAAAGCACACAGGAATATGGGGTGGAAGCACGGCTCCATTTAGCAGAATTTATTTTCACCGCAAAAAATTTAGAGAAATTGATGTCTCAAAGATCAAGAATTTCAGTCTAGTACTTACCTAAAGCTAGTCTGATGCTCTTCTGGAAACAAAATAACCTACCTGCAACTGAGGTGAATACTCACATTTTTATTATCTTTCCTGAAATCAAAGATTCTGTTTGCCTGATGAAAATTCTGTTGACAACCTGTTTTTCCAAACAGTTCAAAATTCCAAATTTTGGCAGCCTGAGTTTTAAAGTTGCATTATTGAAACTTACGACACTTCTGAAAGTAGCAGCTCTAAATTAAAAACAAAGCACCTACAAAAACAGTATTCTGAAAAAGTAATTCCTTAATATAATTCATCTCATTCCCATAATACGTGGGCGTTCACGAACAGATAGTGAAATTCTTGTTGCAGTTAATACACGCAATCTGTTACCCCTTCCCAAATGATCCAGCACACCACAGCTGGGATGACAGAATCCCACTGCTTTTCTCTCTGCTTACCTGGCAATTGTAATCTGTGTCCAGGCCATCCCACAGACTCATGAATTGAGCTTTCATCATAGCTGTTGCTTCGTGGTCAGAGCTTGAACGACTTCGCAAGAAGGAATCTGTATTAAAGGATTCAGTAAAGTAGTAGACTTACAATCCTGCTGTTGAAACTACATTGTTTGATTTCTTGTGTGCGGATGGTATACTCTATCCTATTTCTAAAATAAATGCTGTCAACAAATGAAGAATATTTCTTACAATGAAGAATACAGCAGAGGAGTCCTAGCACATTTTTAAGCGTATCTTTTATGTTACATCACCCAAGTACGTAACTATCACATCAGACTGTCCCAGATCTTAGCTCCTGGTTTTCACTCTCCCCAGTTCATGGAAATTTAAATTTCACCTTAATTTCTTATGTAGAGATGGAATAATTAGGAAAAGCACAAAGCACATGAGAACAGCAAGTTGCAGGACTGGTGTGAAGCAGGCTATGCAGAGCTCTAATTTTTTTAGGAGCCGCCTAAAGAACTTCCACCAGGTAGGAAAAGGCACATTTTTCCTACTTACAGGAAGGAAATAAACAAATCCGAAGAAAGCAGTCCCTTCATAAACATGAACTGGACAAAGCTTTGTCATGCAGTTTCTACAAACTGCACAATTCACTCTGTGAAGTGCCGGTGCTATGACAAAAAGCAGTTTCATCAAAGCCGCTCACAGTAACTTAAGCACAACAGTGGCAAGCCCAGCTGCATGGAACAACTGCACTTTTTCTGCTTTCCTATCCGGTGTTCCCCTCCTATTTCACAGTCTTATTCAATTATTATTCCCAAACCTTTCTAATCCCATGTTTTATTGCCCATAAGGCTTTCCTAATTAGCCCAGCAAAAAATAAGCAGCAACTTGTTCTAATTTCCTGCACTAACACAAACAGAAATGCGATTTTTCCTGCTTTGGCAGGATTACTTTTCAGTACCAATGATGTAAATCTTACATCATTACCATTCTTCTTAAGGAAAGGCTGACAGTAGATCAATATAACCTTCAACTTGAACCTACAGTTCAACGGCACGCTGCTACTGCTACTTACAAAGAGCACAGATTTTTACCTATTTCGTCGATAAAAATGATGGACGGTTGGAGCTTTATAGCAAGGGAGAACACAGCAGCAGCCAGTTTCTGAGACTCTCCGTACCATTTGTCAGTCAGTGTTGAAGGCTGGAGGTTAATAAATCGACAACCTGCTTCCTTTGCTGTAGCTTTGGCAATCAAGGTTTTGCCACAACCCGGAGGGCCATAGAGAAGTACTCCTGAAAAAGTCATGGTGCTAATGTTCCCTGGTTGCAATGCAGAAAACACGCTTGGCACAACAGACATGAGAATGCCTGGGCTTGTATTTCATCCAACTTTTAAGAGAGGAAGCCAAGTTGCACAGCGTTCCATCAAATCAAACACATTTAAGATATCCTTATTATAAGATTAAAACCAAGAACACACACAAAAATATACAGTGAAACTGAAAGAAGACATTAGTCTGAAAGATGAGTGTTTTATTACCATGACTGCAAATGTTACATAGGCTAGCAAATACATAGACTGTTACAAGATTAAAAATCTATTTCTTATAAGCATTATGGTAGGCCTTATTAGTAGATTCAAGTTCACTAAGAAAGCTTACTACAGAGGGGTTAAAAACAAAAAGGAACCCACAAACATTTTAAACATATCATGCACAAATGAAGTGTGATGCCTCTCATTATTTTTAAACTCGCTGTGTTGACAGAAATCACAGCAATGTTTTCCTAACACAGTTGTAAAGAAAATAAGAAAAAAAATCACTATAGGCTGAAACAGAGAAATACTATTTATTTTTTTTCTGTTTATGCAATTGATGATCAGAAAAATAACTACTCTGAAAAAATGACTTCCTATTAACACTTGCTACAAGCCACTAAGAAAACAGGGAGCTTGCCCTATACAGAAAGTATGCTTAAGAAAGAAAAATAATTCTCCTTCTGTTTACTAGATCATTAGGACAATTTTCCAGACAGTTTCAATTTGTGATTTAAGAGAGTGTTGCCTTGAAAAAACTGAACTAGTTACAAAACTGTTTCATTTTCTATCTCTTGGTATATAACACTGAGAAGAGATGGCCACAGATACAGGAAGCAATTGGTTTCCAGAGAATTATGGGAAGACAAAATCCTGGGGATCAGAGCATTAACAACAAAATTTGGTATTGTGTCCAATGCTACATGTTCAAATTCTGTGCGTTTTCAAGAAGCATACAGCAAATACAACCAGCTGCATTCTAGCACAGATAGTTCTGGTCTACCCAACTGCCTCAATATTGTCCAGTTCAACTTGAGAGAGAACTGAGGAATCTCCAAAATAAAAATGATGTCTTTAATGACTGCAATTTCTAGGATTAGAACAGAGCTGTCTACAAGATATACAATACAGCTTAAAGCAGTATTCACATTTGTGACTTGTGTTTTCATGATACTATAAAAAAACTAATAAAGTGTACAAAGTTGTACAGCAAAGGACAAGATGAGGTCTAAAAAGGACAAAGCTTCCATAATTTAGATGGTTAAAAATGCAAATTGTATAGATTAATGCATTAAGATGCAACATCAATAACTAAGAAGTAATTATCACTTCATAATTAATACAAACCATTCACTAGAATTTACTTTCATGGCAATAGAAGAGGGAAAACTGGAGCATTTTCCCTGGCATAGTTATAGTTTGGGTAATTATCAGCCCAATTCCTCCTTCCTTTTTAATTCTAATGTGGGTTTTTTTGTGGTTTTTGTTTTTTAATACCAATACAGAAATTCATAACATATCCTTCCTACCTTTTGGTGGCTGTAAGAGCCTGGAGTTCTCAAACAAGTATTTCTTCTTGATGGGCAAGATGACAGTGTCTTTCAAATCTGTAATGACATCATCTAAGCCTGCAATATCATTCCAAGTTACCTGGTGTGGAAAAACAGTATTAGAAGTGATTTTAGTCCCCACCAACAAAACATACCCACAAACTTAAGTACTGTTGGGCCTTCCAAAAAACAAAAAACCAACAAGAGATTAAAAGTTCTATTCCTAATGATGTCACCATAGTTTCAAATTACAGCATCGCCTTCTGTGTATTTCCATAGACACATATCTATGCAAAATAATGCCATCCAAAGAAAAAAATTAATATCTTCCAAGTCTGAAGTGCTTTACTAGGAATAAAATGGAAAACTATTTCTTACATGCATGCTTAGTGGGTCGACAAGATGTGCAGCAATACTCATTTCATATTCAGAAAGCTTGACATTTTTCACTCCAATTTGTTTCATTAGCTTTTCAGCCTAAGGAATAAAACACCAAGAAAATTAGAGAGGGAAGTAGATAACTTAATTCAAAAATTAATTTTTAAAGGACTGCTACTTGGAGTCTGAAAGTTAGAAATACAAGCTTCTCAGTAATTCATATCTGAAAAGAGCCCAAATCCTTCTTCCAAAGGGATGTTGTTTCCAAATTACATGCTGTCACTTCAGTGAAACAATACTACTGCATCAATGAGGAATCAATGTATTTTCAAGGAAAAGGGGAAAACAAACAAACAAACAATGCACCAAAGCCAGATATTTTTTCTAAGCATTCACTGTTTTCTTTTTCCCACTTTAAAAAGAAAAGTCATTTGTTGTGGCAACATACTTTCGCAATTCGTTTTCTCTTTACGCTCAAACTTGTGGTTAGATCTGACATGCTTTTGGGATACTGCAACCTCTTATATAACAGTTGGCACCAGCACAGATTGTGAAAGCTGATTTTTAAAGTGGACCAATTTTTTTTTTTACTGAAGATTTCATTTAAAAAAAGAAAGAGGGAAAAAAAAAAAAAAAACAAAACAGAATTAGGTTGCTCAAAACCTGATTTGAATTTGAATAGTTTGAATTCATGAATTGGAGTCAGGCCTAATAAATAAATAAATAAATAAATAGACAGATAAATAAATAGATAAATAAATATTGCAATATTTGCTTCAATACTTTCCAAAGGAAACTGTTAACATCTGGTACACAAAGCTCCTACGCCTTTTCTAAAAGCATTGACACTTCCATCATAAGGAACAAGGCTTCTCCTTTTTCCTCCCCTTTCCAGGGCATTTTGACTGCAACCAGGGGAAGAGACAAGCTGCAGTTGTTCTTGAAAAAGCACTTGGACAGCAGCATTCCTCTCTGCCATGAGCTACTCCAGCCCTGCCTCTGCAATCAAGTTGCCAAAAAGCAGTAGAGAACTAAGTTATTTTTGGTCAAGGTTTTTAACAAGCAACCGAGAGCATTATTTAATGTGACTGCTGCTTAGCAAAGCTGCCAGAAGCAGAAGAGATACTGGGACCACACACTTGCAGATAATTAAAGACAACATCACACCACAGTTCAAATAGTTCTTTCACCACTATGAGCTAGAGATTTTAACGTGTTACAAGACGTAAGTACTGAGAATCCTAACAGCTCGGACCCTGTACTAAAATACACTTGTTTTTTTATTATTCCACTCCCAAAGCTCTCTTTAATTACTTCATTGGCTATTCCTAGCCCAGTTTTCAGATTTCTCTGCCTGAACAGTAATGAATGAAACAGTGTTCTGCAAAAATATTTGTGAATAAAATCCTACCTGTTTCTGAGCTTCTACTTTTTGCTTTCTGGTGGGGTCGATGGCATCAACCATCCACTTAATGGTGAAGTATGTTACAGCACCAAATATTGTCAAACGGAAGATCAATCCGACCACTTCATTCCGGCTCAGGGGGCGTGAAAACGTTTCAGCGTGGACCATCCTGCCTCTCAATGCTAAATGCAAACAAAAGAGAGGGAGAGGAAAAAAGTTAAAGCTAAGAAAACACCTACTTTAAACACCTTTTTGTTTCCATGCAGACGTTGAGCGCAAAGTTCATGGAGTTACCAGGAAGTAACTCGACAGCGGCACAAAAAAGGTAATGGAGAAGCTGAGCCACGCGGGGCTGCAGGCAGTGACAGCATGGTTTCACTTCCACTTTCGGTAAGGAGAGAACAAAGGGCAACCGTGAGCTGAGGCCTAGCTGGACTGATGGCAAGCAAAATGGTCCCGGCTTCAGTCTTAAGACATCTGTCTTCCTTTTGGCTGTACAATACCTCCGCAGAAAGACTACCTCAGCCAGGTGCACATTCCCTCTAAGACTGGAACGTTATGTCGTGTTGACCTAAGAATGCTATGTCACGGAGACGTGGTGATTACCTCACTTACCCGGACAGCTCCGTTTCCTAAGAGGAAGCTGCGGGGAAAGTCACCCAAACGCCACGCTCCAGAGATCCACAGCTTGCATTAATACCCCTGGGCAAGGGAACAGGCTGGGCTGGCACACAGCTCGCAGGGGAAGGGCCGGCTTCTGCCAGAGCCGAAGCCAGAAAGTACAGCGCCTTCAAGCGAGGGCAACAGAGAGGGAAAATTCCCCTTAAAACACAGAAGAAAAAAAAAACAACCTTGAAAATCGGGGTCCCCCGACCTTCATCTACTTCCCACCCAGCCGTGGGTTTCCTACCCCGAAGCTCGCTGCGAGGCCGCCCCGGCTGACCCGCAGGGCACGGCTCACCCCGCACACCCGTCCATCCCCGCTCCGGGCTGCCGGCCCGCTCTCGCACAGGGACGCGCGCAGCACCACGCCCGGCTTCCCTTCCCCGCAGCCCGGCTGCTCCCGCCCCGAGGCAGCGCGCTGGGCCCGGCCTTCAGGGTTCCCGAAGCGCCGGCTTCCCGCAGCGCCGAGCGTACCGAGTACCGACGGCTCGCTCACCCGGCCCGGAGCCGCTCCGAGCGCCGCGCAGCCGCAGCACGCTGGGAGCGGCTCGGAAGGAGGCGGCGGCGCGGCCCGGCCCGGCGCGCTGAGAGCCCGCTTCCCGCTCCGGCCGGCTGCCGCCGCCGCGCACCAAGGTTCCGGCCGCCCGGCTTCTCCTGGCGGGGCGGGCCTCGTGCCGGACGCTGGGACGGCCGGGTGCCGCGGGCGGACGGCGGTACGTAGCGGTGCCGGCTGAGGCGGGCGGCTCTGCTCTCCGGGCCCTGAGGCGGAAGCGCACCGCAGCCGCACGTCGGAGAATTGGCCGCTCTTCCTGCTCTTCCCGGCCCCCGTCCTCCCCGCGCTCTTAGCTTTTTACAGCCGTTCACAACTTCCGATAGCTGTTCATTGCTCTGTCCCGCGCCGCGGGACCTGGCGGGTGGCGCGTCCCCGAGGCAGCGCAGCGAGGCCGTCTGTGGCCCTGCTGTGCTGAAATCTCCACACGTAAATCTCCACAGATGGATGCGGGCGTGTAAAAGAGCAAGAAATGGCCAAAAGATATTTAACGAAGAACGCTGTTTAACGAGTGGTTCAGCTTCCAGACTGTTCTCGGGCACTCAGAGTCCGGAGCGGTCCCTGTGGAACTCCTAACATTTCCACAGCAAAGATACGTCTTTGTATGTTGGAGAGATGTTCGGAAGGGACCTGGGGGGGTCCCGCATCCAGGGTGCAGTTAGGGAGTGCAGAGCCCGACTACAGCTGTGCTTTCGCTCAGAGGTGGCACACGAGCCCAGCAGCCCAAAGCTTGCTGTAGCTGGCTGACTGTGGGTGCTGCTGGGACTCACCAGGACAAAAATGATCTACATTTAAGAATTAACCAGTACTTTTATTAAGAGCAAGAAAGTACTCCCACTTTCAACTTGCAATGTATTGAAATAATAACTTAGAACAATATGTTTTGGGAAAATGTCCATACAAAGGTCAAAACAATTGATCTTTCTAATGAACGCGATCGCTTGGATGTTTCAGCAACTTGCCTTTTGTTGTCTTCAACCCTTCTGCTCTTGCAGCAATGCCACTGAATGTGTAAAGCCTTCTAGTCTGGCTTTTTCTGAGATAGAGCCTGATGACTTTTATTCTTACCTGTGATTCATGAATTGTTCAAGGGCTCACTTGAACAAAACTTCACCAGCGCACCTGGAACCTGCTTGGGTTTTCAAGAGCAGTTAGCATTTCATACGACATTAACTTCACTACAGGGCACTTTTAATCATCATCCCTTGTACAAAAATGCAGGAGTTCCTTCACTTGCATGCTACAAACAACTCTACTGAGCTTTCTTATGGCCACTGCAGCTACTCATTTAACTCCTCTCAGATAAAGAATGTGATAGAAAATTTCCTTCCTGCAGTGGATCCGTTTAGTGCTGATACCTGGGCACACTGCAGTGAGCCAGGTGGGACAGACCTTCCCCATAGAAACCATCCATCATCATATCGGTGATGCACAGTACTTTCCTCATTAAATCAATGCACAAAAAAAAAAAAAAAACTCCAGTTCTCAAAATGATTGTGATTTTACCAGAGTACTGGACCAGCAGTTTTTGCTTGGTTCCACTTACTGGGCTTAGTATAGTTTACACTGAAAAAAAAAAAAAAAAAAAAAGTTTTGAAATAACTTTAGGTTCTTCAGGAGTTGCGGAGGAGGTTCTGTTGTCCTGTGTGCAATACCTCTCCCAAATAAGAAATGTATCTAATCAGAAAACAAATGTGTTCATATCTAAATTGATTTACAGAAAGCCCTCTTTCTTCTGCTGCTTCTCCAGTCTTTAATGGTAAATAAGATGTATATATATTATATATATAGATGGTAAATAAGATGATGGGTATATATATATATATACATAATTTTATTTACTTATATAATCATCTTATTTACCATTTATATATATATTATATAAATTATATATACACATATATATATACTTAATTCTATGTAGAATGTGAGAGCAATTTCCCTTTGATTGTTTAAAAGTGAGCTAGATATAATCAGTGATGATGACAGCTGTTATTATTAACTTGAGGCTTACAGAGGTTCTTGTAATTGCCCCTCTTGAATAGGAAAAGAACAATTGTTTCACTGTCTGCATTTCATGTACTAGGAAAATGCTGTTGTGCTTGAGTCACTGGTGCTGTAGGAAAATATTTAGGACCCTTCTGTTTTTTCTCCCACTCTTAAAAAATGACATCTGTTTTGTTGCAATTAAGGAGAAACGCAAACACACACACAAGTAATAAAAACTTGAAACCTACATTTCTCACTGCTATTCGACAGCTGTAGCATGCACCCTTGAAGGAAATCCTCTGCTGAAAAGCACATTAAATTTTTTTAATGAGAGATGCAATTTTTTTTTACAGAAGTCAAGCAGGGTCAGGTTGAAAGTGAGGTTGGTGCTTCTGGTTTATATTGTATGGAATCCATTGGGCCCTAATTTCTCACAGTAGGGAGAGATTACTATTTCTTGAACAAATATTTCTTAAAAGCAGTGGGATATACTGAATTCATTCTGCTCTACTAAATACACTTTCAAAGCCTTTATGTTTTGAGCTGAAGGCTCAACACTAGGACTTGCTCTGAAACCTAACCTGACAAATGCCTCTGTACCTCTTACATCACTGGACTTTTCCCTCTTTACACAGAACTGATCGCTGCAAGTGTTGCTTTGCCATCTCTGAGGACATGTGAGCTCAAATTCTAACATTTCATATCCAAAGCATGGATGACGTGGTTCGTCTCCAGAAGATTGTGGCTCCTCAATATGGCAGTAGAAGGTCCTAGTGGGACCTACGGGGACCTAGCATGGTTTGAAAACTCAGAGGGGTTATGATAAAGGCCACATAGTGGTTGTTTTCCTTTGACTGCTGAGTGTTTTGCCAATAAATATTATTTTTTGTGAACTTCAGTGTCCGGTAGCTGCAGGCAATCAGGTGTCCTTCAGTGATGTGAACAGGAGCAAGATGGGAAAGGACTGGTGTGCTAAAAGCAAAAGGGTCTGTGGTGGCTAGAAGTAGGAAGGGGTTATTGTTGGTTGTGAACAACAAAACATCAAAATGGTGTAGGTATGAAAGGAGATCAGTGGAAAGCAAGGCAAAGTACACGGAAAGACCAAAGTGAGTGATGTGGAAACAAAACAAAACAAAACAAAAACTGGCAAAAAGGGGATGCTTGGAAACAGTTTTGATAACTACAAAGTTTTTTTCCATGAAAAGCTCTGCTGGGCTTCAGCAACTTGTGTACCAAAGACTTCAGGCGTCAGAGATTACATTTGCAGCGAGTTCTTTCAAGAATTTCTCCTCTTTCCCCTTAAACCCATGTAAACTTTTGGCACCCATAACATTTTGTGCCAAAGTTCTCCAATTTAACTTCATGGATTTGTTAGAGCAGGTCCAGAGGAGCATCAGTGAAGATGCCCAGAGCGCTGGCGCACCTCTTCTTTGAAGACAGGCTGAGAGAGTTGGGGTTGTTCAGCCTTGAGGAGGCTTCAGGGAGACCTCATGGCAGCCTTCTAGTACCTAGAAAATGGGCTAGAGGAAAGCTGAGGACAGATTCTTTGTCAGGGGATGTAGGGATAGGACAAGATGGGATGGTTTCAAACTAAGAGAGGGGAGATTTATGTAAAACATTAGGAGGAAATTACGTACTCAGTGGTGAGGCCCTGGAACAGACTGCCCAGAGAAGTTGTGGATGCCCCATCCCTGGAGATATTCAAGGTCAGGCTGAATGAGGCTCTGGGTAGCCTGATCTAATTGGAAGCAACGAACCCACAGCAGCGGGGTTGGAGCCTGGTAATCTTTAAGGTCCCTTCCAACCCAAGCCATTCCGTATTTCTACGTCATGACACTAATTACCTCTCTTTGTTTTTCTGAATTTATCACCAGCTAGTTTCGTCTGCAGTCCCTACATTTTATACAGAAGAGACGGCAAAGAAAGGTAGACCCTGACCAACCTCTCTGAAGTTTGGGAAAGGAAAATTATGGTCTCACTGCACACAGTAGCTAGCCCCAAAATAGCTGCCAACATGACAGAGAAAACAAGGTCTTGGGAGCGACATTCCTAACAGAGTTTAGATGGGATGAATACCACTGTCCTTGTGTCCGGGCAAGATACTGTCAAGAACAACATGCTCTGTTCCGGTAGTGTGTATGGAAAAGAAAGAATACTGAAGCAGGAGCAGAAGGTCACTTCTGAGACCAGTCAGATGAAGGCCAGGAGGAACTGTAAACACACAAAGGGTAAAAAGGGTAAATGCTATGGAGTAGGAGCTATTTAAGGCCAAGGCTGGTGCAAGAACATGTGGATACAAACCAGTCACAAATATATTTAGCATGAAAATCTGAAGGAGGTTCTGGGAACAGCTTCCCAGTGGGAATAATGGTGGCAAAAGATCTTAACTTGATACATTTATGACAGAATTATATAATATAGCATTTGCAAAGGCTGAAAGCTACAGCAACCCAGGAAATCCCTCCACCTTATGTTCCAGTTTATTTTGAGTCCTTAAAGGCAAAGCATAACATTTCATCCTTCCTTTCCTCCGCTGCTCCAACCAGCTGCAGCTGGACCTCTCTTAAAAGCTCTTTTAAGACTGAACAAGACACCGAATTTATCTTATACATTTGAATTGGATCTTGCTGTTCCTTAGGGAGATTTTGTAAAGTACTGCCTAGCGTGCATACGTAAAAATTGCTATTTAGTATGTCTTTTCTGGGATACTATGTTTTATTCCACCTTGCCAAAGTGCTGCTTATCAAGAAAATTCCAACGTGTAAGCCAGCATTTCGTTGCTCAGACTGACAGCCATTCCCCAGGTAATGCAATTACTGAGCAAACCAGACATTCTCTGCTGGCGTTTCTGTGAGGGCTGCATTCCCCGTGCCAACAGGTCTAGCCAAAAACACAGTTTCTCGGTAAGGGTGCCTCAGAAACACTGGCGGTAGGTGTATGCGTTAGAGCTGGGATCTAATCCCTAGGGAGACACCTGCCCGACCGAGGCCATCTGCCTTGGCACATCCTGTCATTCCTGAAGGGAAAGGGGCTCACGGGTTCTCCCCTCCCACCAGGCCGCTCCTCGCTACG